TCAACAGGTCATTTATTTAGCAGAAGTTTTTGTTACAATTTATTACTCTACCCCCCTCTACAGGTCGCTCATTTAGCTCAAGTAGTGGATGATGATGTAGCACGGGTTTTGTCATGGCACATGGCTTCTGATATGGACTGTGTTGTCACTCTTACCACTGAAAAGGTTTGTTCAACTCAAACTGCAATAAAGGTGTTAAACATTTGTTATCTGGCTCATCCATTAGCAATCGAACCTCAAAATGCATTAGTCAGAAGCTCCACCACTACTGAGCAAGTGATAACCAGTTATTATAGGCAAGGTTCATAATTATTTGTCTGACTCATTGTATATTGCAAGGATCAGCAATGTTGAATCCGTCTTGTTTGAAGATAGGGTATCTGGTGATTTCGCCAACGAGTGATTTCGCCAACGTCACGTTCGCCAACGTCACGTTCGCCAACGTCACGTTCGCCAACGTCACGTTCGCCAACGTCTTAGGTCGCTTCGCCAATGCGATGAGTCGCTTCGCCAACGTCCTACTGGTCACTTCGCCAATGTATTAGTTTACTCTAAATAAAAATTTACCATTACTTCTTCTTGCTTGTGTGTGTTATTTACTTGACTGAGCTGACTTGATTTCCCCGTTCGAACTTAGTTTCCTTCCGTTATTTTGTTCGGACTTAGTTTCCTTCTCTTGTACGCGCAACTTAAAACACAGTGGGCCCACATAAATGCACGGCACGCCACGCGTCACCAGCGCTGTATGTTGCAAAAATTAACTTAGAGCAATAAAGTCGCGTGTGTGCAACCTTTTCCTTAAGTTCTTCTATAAGGTTTATTTGTCGATAACAGAGATTTATATAATTACCTTTGAGACTTCTAGAACAGAGATTTATATAAATACATTATAGACTACTACTACTACTAATTCTATAACTCCAGCGCATATTATATCTTCGATCAAGAATATATGAGTATTACAAGAAACACAGTCAAGAAACACAAATACCATCAATACTAAGTTTACTAAGTTATCACTAAGTTATTACTAGATATTTGGCGTTGGCGAAGTGACCAGTAGGACGTTGGCGAAGCGACTCATCGCGTTGACGAAGCGACCAAAGACGTTGGCGAACGTGACGTTGGCGAAATCACTCGTTGGCGAAATCACCGCAATTCGAAGATAGAGTAAGCAACTTGGTGCTTCAAGAAAAGAATGATATCTCATAGAGTCTACATCCTAATTGGAAAAAATAGCAACTTGAAATACACACCATCAATATACAGTATGTTGAATTTGCTGTAAGTTGTATAAATTGTTGATTAGCGCATGATATCTCTAGCTTGTAACTGTTTGGACTGTTTCAGGCCAAGCAAGTGTATCGTGATTCAAATGGTCAGCAGCAGGTTCTTCCCTTGGATTCCATATTCAGACGAAGTTTACCAGAATGGAACAGGTGAGCTACAGCTTCAACGCTTAATATGATTTTTTATCGTTTACCAGTCACTTATCTTCATTGCTTATTCTGTGATCACTGGTTTTCTTACAGACCGCTGCCACATGTACGAGGTTCAAATAACTACACTCCCACAGGGAACCCAGTTTATGCTCGAGATATGCTGCTATTCCCTGCAGAAGGAGACAACTGCAAACTCGGTAAACCAAGGACACCTAGTAACAGTGTTTAATCATTTAAAATTAGAAAAATTATATTAATGGCAACTGGGGGTTCCTCTTAACGTCTCTGCTCATGAATACAGCACTACGAGTTTAATTGGAAAATGTTATTTGCTCATTTTTCGTAAGCCATTCTCCCTTTACTATGAAATAAATGTATGTGATGATAGTTGAATTTTGATGAAAACTGCTAGAAAGTTAAAACCTCTGAATTCGCAAATGGAGGTGCCCTCAGTTGAAGTAACTCTTTTACCTTCTAGTGTTTGGTATGTTGCTTGGCGACACTTTGATCCTTGATGATCTGGATTGTGCAAATAAATACAGACAGGAGGTGAGTAGCATGGGAGATGTGTGCAGTGCTAACACTTTAAGTTAACTCTTACTCTTTTCTTACTGTTTACATCATTCTATGGAAGGTTGTGAAGTACACTCATTGTCCAACAATTTTGACGAGGAGTGGGGATCGTATCAGGAGTAACGGTAAGCTACAGCTACTAGACAGAATATACCAATTAAAGTAGTGATCTAACCCCAACCCTAAGCGTACCTCCAGGTAAAGCAAAGGATTTTTTCATGCAACGTCATGTTACTAGAAAATTTTCATCCGTTGAGTAGCTGTTCTCTGATCTGTTGCCAAATACAGCTCTTTAGCACAAGAGTAAAGTGGTAAGTTTGTAAAGAAACTGTGTTGCTGCGTCGGTGGGAGAGTATAGCAGGTAATTTAGTGTTAACAACTGAGTTGAAAACGTAAATTAGCCGCCGTAAAGGGTAAAAAAGCTGACGTTTCGAGCGTTAGCCCTTCGTCAGAGCGATAGATTAGATTAGGCTAAGAAAAGACTATTGACAACTTTGTCTTCTTTGTTTAGGGAAGTTTGGTGGTCTTCAGAATAAAGCTCCTCCGTTAGAGAGAATGCGTGGCGCTGTATTTGCTGCACCACTTCCCCTTGCTTTTCATTCATTTACAACACAAATCGGTGAGTAATTCTGGGCAGGTTAGTCATTTGTTTAATATCTTAGGTGAGAAAGGAATGCCCACTACCCAACACTTTCATGTGGTGTGTTATTTGTGTATTTTGTATGCTTGCAGAACAACTACAGCAATTTAAACAAGCCGTTCTGAAACATGCTCAAGCCAAAGAGGAACTTTCCGTAAGTTTGGTACACGTCGTAAAAAGAGTATTCGCCTCGTATGATTCCTGTGCTAGCAGCAGTGCTAATACAAATTTAATTTTGTTACCATAGCTACAGCTACAGCACGGACAAACTGAGGAGATGAAAGTCAAGCATCGCGAGTGTAGAGAGGCAGAAACTCAACTGCGCATGATTGAAGAGCGCCTTGGTATGACACCAACACAGTATAATATGCCTCCAAGTCCTGCCACTATGTTACTCACAGAGCTCAGCACACCACCAGCAAGGACTGCTACATCTCGTCGCGCAGGCGCGCGAGCTGCAGCAGCTGCCTCTGCGTCTCCAACTTTGTTGAATTCAGTTGTAAATGGAACAAATAACACCTCTGCAAATACGAGTTCTCCGCGAACAAGACGAGGCGCTCCCGTTGCTACTGAAGACATCCGTTTCAGTAAGCGGACACGGCGATGAAAAAAGAAGACTTTGCATTGTTATTAGCTTCTTGATTTTTTCTTTGAAATTGCCATTCTAATTTAAAACGTTTTATTTCAGCGCAACTATTTTGTCCCACACAAACAAAATTGTGTAAATTCAGAAATTCAGTCATAACTTAGATGTAATTTGTTTTAAATGCGAGCACACCACATAAATCTACCCATACATGATTGTTCGATAACTTCCGCCTTCTTGCGTCAGTCACCAGTCACATGTACACTTGGACTCGGTTGTTCAAAGGATGGATAACCCCATCCTCTGGATACATTTCAATCCAATGGATAGTGCAGTGCATTGCACCAACATTTATCCATTAAACAGCATTCTTTGCCCTTTGAACAACCCGGGCCCGTAGTTTTTAATTGTTTTAGACTTGTTGTGAATGAAAATAATGATGATTCCAGTTTGATGTACATCATGTTAACTTATACCATGTACCCTCTATGAACTTAATTTCAATATTTATGAGAATGCATATGAGGATAGTTGCCTTGAAATTTAGTAGATCTGAGGTAAATATACTTTTTGTTGTCAACCCAATATTTATTAGTACGATTTGGAGCAGTGTTTTTCTCACTCTGTGAAATGCAATCACTTGTTTTTGAGTTGCAGTTCCTTGGTTAGCACTTAACCAAATAAGACAGTGATGCTGCTCACTGATCAGATGGGTTAATACATTTTGTTTTTGGTGCTTTTCACTTAATTGCATTCATATTTGTAACTCTTAAAACAACAGTATGGAGAATTTTATTATGATAAAATGTACGAGGCTTAAACAGCAAGAAATATTAAACTGAACTTTATGTAGCTGTAGTGGTACCTTTTTCTCTCTAGAAAGTGCCTGTTGGAGATTTAGATGGCCATTTTTCATTTAAGAGGATGGCTACCTGTAAGTTAGCCATTTCTTAACTGGGCAATGAAAGTCAGTCCACTGGTGAAAGTATTTATGATGTTAAGATAGAAAGAAACTTGAGAATAGCTGGTTCTGCAAGTCAGTCTCAAGCATTCTCCTCATGGCACTCCATTTATTGCTTATTATGAAAATAAGAATCAATATTTCTAGTCACTTGTAAGGTATTGAGAGGTTTTTAAATTTCATGAAATTCTAAAACTTTCAAGACAAATAGTGGTGTTTTTTAATTGTTGATGCACCCACATTAAAGGGTTTTCCATAATTAAAGGTATTTTGAAATCCTTTAAGATACACACCATCACCATGATATTCTATCAACATATTTATTGACATATCAGTGGTAGAATTTGTGTTTACAAACTGATGAAATATGCATCTTTGTACCTACAACATCAAATAACAAGATCAAATATGAATGGATGTGACTCAGAAGACAATCCTCACACTCCCTCACCCTTGAAACAAAAACATGATGTACAATTTCTAATAATAACTTGTCTTGGTTTCCTCTTACAGTTGCATTACAAACTTGTCAAAAGTTCCTTAGGCATGTTAATAATAAGAAAAAATGAAGGCAATAGGGCAGTCAGTGCTTCCAACAATCACTGGAGTAAACCTCTGGATACAAGGCTTAGTTTTGCTTAGAAGGTTTAGGGTTACTGTCAACAAACTATGGTACCTTACAGAAACATCTTCCTATGCACTCTCATTGTAAATTAACCATGGAAAACTATATATCACTGTGAAACTTATAGAGTTTAGATTATGAAAATAACAAAATTTCTCTTACTTTTTGTTATGGTGGGTGTGCATTGGCTTTTAAACACAAAACTAATGGGGGTTTGACTTAACTTTGATTTCTTTGGCCCAGGCTCTCTTGCAGCTATTGTCTTTTTGGCTGTTTCATATAGACTCTTATTTCTCAACATTTTGCATAATGTGCCAGAAATTCCCCTTTGTTGTGCAGTGCAAGACATGATGTACACAATATATACACATCAAGATCCCAAACGCCACTGGAAAATGTCAGCACCTGCTGGAGGCCTTTCCAATTTGGAAACCTTTCCCTTTTCAATTCAGGTGCCCCTTAAACATTCTTTCAGCCATATCTCCCCCTCTTTTTAGGATTTTGCTAATTCTTATCAAATTAAGTATTGCTGCTTTCTCCAACTAAGGAGAAAGTTGACTAAATTTCTGAAAATTGAGATCAGATTTTGTTGACAATAACCTTGAGAGATCAGATTCATCTAAATGCACACAATTGATGTTCACATTACTTATGTTGTCAAAGAACCCTTCCTTGGATAAAGAAGATGAAAATTTCAATGTAGAAGAGATGTTTCTTGTACAAAGCCACTATGTCATGCTGTTTGCATCTACAATGTAATTAACTGGCAGCTGCATACCTTTTTACAAACACAACGTATTAACTTACAAAGTATTGCCAGTAGAAGCAATATTCAGTTGGAATTAAGACAGTTAAGCTCCAGCACTTTGGATAAATAGCAGTTTCAAGTGTCTACAAATATACAGAAAATAGTCAATCTTTCTTTTAATCACTTGTCTTTGCTGATCCCATATTTTTCTCTCATCTTTTCTAGCTCTTGCTTCTTCTTTTCCTTGTCCAGTTTTTGGAAAGCCTATGAGGCAAAATAATTTCAAAGATTGGTTTAACATAGTGGGATGGTTTGGTTTGGGAATTGACCTACCGGTATTTGTCAGTGTCTAAAGGAATTCATTTTAAGAAATTTAGTGTATTTAAAGTTCTTTTTCAGTAAGGTGCACAGACCTTTGTGGACTGGTAGTAAAGAACAACTAGATAGCGGTTGCACACATTGAAGCCTGATAGGTGGTCGCAGGCATTTTTGGCATCAAAAATATCCTCATATACAACAAATGCTGTTCCTCTTGTCTCAGGTGTATTTCCACTAAAAGAGAGAAGAGAAAAAATGATAAAGTACACATCCAAAACAAGACAACTTCTACACAAGCAACAGACTGTTTAATACTCTGATCAATCAACTTTTTATTCATACAAACAACTTATTTCTTGGATCAGAAAATAGTAGGTTACTAACACTCTGATCTGTCTGATTCCTCCATATTTTCCAAATATATCATACATCTCCTCTGTTGTTATCTTGTAAGGAAGATTCCTGGGATAAAATACACAAAGTTATGAGTTGATCACCTTCTCGAACTGATTTCATAAAACTTCCTGTGGCAGTAGTAAGAAAAGGAGTGACAAAAAAGGGACACAAACACACCATGAATTGTCATTCCCTGTGTTGAAAGAATCTTCTGGGTATTAGTCTGATAACTGAATTTTATATAGCAATTAAACATTACACAGAGTAATTCTTCTAATTAAACTTAAAAGATTTCTTTTCCACCACTTCGTAGCTACAATTTTGTTGTAAGTGGGTAAGGCTACATGGATTCATCAGATAATGGCGGCAGATTTAATCAATTGTCCATAAATCATTATATTACCTGACATAAAGGATTCTGTTCACTTCCGGCGGTAATCGAACCTTAAAGAGAGGAAAATCTTGTGAGAAACTTGTTTCCTCGTGAATGATACAGCTAGAATAAAATACTTAAATGACAAATGTAATTCAAATATCCCAAACAACAAGCTTTACAGAAAAGGATTTAATTTGAGAGAGACCCAAGGTTGGAAAAAGTAGAATTAAATGAATAAGTCAGTAACAGAGAAAATCTTTTCCAGATTCAAATGAAAGTAAGCCATAATATGAAGTTCAACTCACATTGGCCTTCCTTTGATTCTGCAGCGCCATCTTGGTTCGTCTTCCTTTCGTCACATGAACATACGGGAGTTTCAAGAAAGGACTTGTGGGAAATATTTTAAAGCATTAGTTTCAGTGCAAGGTATTCTGGGATGTAAATACTGTGGCAAGATGGCGGCTGATTTGGACAACGGAATGGATTTGTCTGGGTTTATTGTCGACAAAGGAATAGAAGCTGAAAATGATAAAACTGAAGAAGTGGCTGAGATTTCTTTGTCTCCTGATTTAGAAGCAGAGGAAGAAAGAAAAGCAGAGTTGCGTGAACAAGCCAAAAAGGTTCGAGATTTTTCCTTTGACACGTCACTCACTTGCTGGAATTCACATGATTTCTTGATCGTAAATATCAATGTATAACATTATTTGAAATTACGAGCAATGTATGTTATCAACGGTAGATATTCCAGAGATCTGAATGTTTTTCCAAGGGAAAACTCTGGATAAAAGTGTCGAGAAAAAGAAATCGAAATGTCGACCATTTGAGATCCATCAAGAAAATACTCACTTAGGGTGTAATTCCAAAGGTTAACAAGAAATGATTCTCATGGAATTTCAGCAGAATTTATCCCTCCTTTATCAAATATTTCTGTAAATCCGCTTAAACTTTGGTGAAAATTTAGGAACAGACTTCTGTCATTCCAGTTAGGGTTATCTTAATTTTTTTTTAGAATGAGGAGTGGTTGATTCATTATTGAAATGTTCATTTTAAGATTCACCCAGTCTGACATCAAATTTAATTAAGTGTTGTCATTAACATGTAATTTAATGAGTGGGTGGAGGAGAAGAAAAAATGAAACTTCTGTAATCAAACTGTATTTAAGAAATGTGGACATGATAATGATAACCAATTCATCATTCCTTTTGGTCTATTAACTCTTGTAGATTGAAGAGGAAATTGTTACCCTTAAACAAGCTCTTGACAGGAAAGAGAAACAGTTAGCAGAGATAAAAAGATTGTTGGGTATCACAGCCTGGTCTCAGTTAAAAGAGGGATTACATAATCAATACCAGAACTTACAAGGAACACAGATGTAAGACTGAAACTTTACAAATGACCAATAACTGTTATTCCTAGGTTGGAAATTTAAGATGATATCTTGGAATTAGAAAAAACTTTTGAACTAAGGTAATTTTTTAAATGACTGGAAAGTTACATGTGGAATATTGTTTGGTTTTGTCTTAAAATAGGTATCAAAAGACATCTGACACCTTTAAAGACTTGAATGATAAAATTGTTCATTCCCAAACGTAAGTGATGTTGAGTTGCTTCACTGACTCAGTTTATGTGTTACTTCTTTTGAAATATTACAATGCCCTTGTATGGTGTTAATTTGTTGAAAAGATACAGAATTGTAGAATTTTCCTTATGACTAACATGCTTTGTTTTTTAAATATATAGTTAGAAATGATAATGATGATGGTGATAGAAGTTTGTTAATAGAGAAATGATAATCTTAATCGGAACATATGTTAAGAATTTTGTATTAATTTCATTCTTTTCTTTTTTTTGTTATTTTTAGTTACAATAAACTGAGCAGTGGTGCCTCAGCAACCAAAACAGTGTTAAGTGATGCAGGATCAAGGACTGCTAATGCGGCAAGAAATGTTGGATCAGCAACAGCCAAGAAACTGGGAGAAATAAGGTACTATGTGTTTCATCATCACTGAGTCATGCAGGATAATGAGCAGCTTGAAGTTACTTATCCTTGAAACAAATTCAGTTAATAATGGCTAACAATATAATTTGGAATAAGAGAGATTGTAATTAATTATGATAATTTATGTCTAAAAGATAATTAATTGTGATTACTTAATGACAGTACAGAGAAAGGTTACCCTGCATGAAATATGTTGAAAGTATTACTTTAATTGTCATTTTAGGGGATCCTCGATGTTTCAATCTTTGGAAAGCAAAGTTGTGTCTGCTTCTTCAACTCTTAAGGTATGGCACATTGATTTTTTAAAATTGATGAAAATATACTTCAAATTTCCCAGGTAACCACACTCCACTTTCTGTTGTATTTAATCACCAATTCAGACTCTTTTGGCATGTCACTCATTCTTGGTTTTCTGAAGGGTGGATAGCTTGTTCCACTGTATACTGTAATTACTTATTTGGACAACACTCTCCCAATTGATAGATATATCATTAGGACAGCTTTTGAAAAGGTGGTTTATACTGTCCTAGGGATAAGTATGAATGAAACAAACCATGCTTTGAATTGGAGACAGATGTAATCAGTGCATAGCAAGTAGCCTTAACAACTGGGACCCTGAATTAGAAATTTTAATGTCTGCATCAGCCGTTTGTTAATAAAAACTATCCAGTAGGTCTGAAAATAATTTTGTGTGAAATATAACAGTTCTGAGCTATGGTAATGTAATGGAAAGTCCAACAGGAGGAAAGTGCAACAACTATTAAAAATTTATCCAGTTTTTCAAAGGACAGGTTATCCTATTAAGATATTTAATCATTATTGATGAGGAGCATATGAACATTTCCATCATTCATCTGCAAGGCGGCATTGGTTCTTGGAAAATGTGTTTTGTCAAATCATTTGATCAGGAGAGCAAATAAATAGCCTAGTTTAGTGAAGATATGAATAACTTGAATGATAGTTTTCTATTACAAGATCATACATTTTTTCCATAAGAAATTAGGCTGCAATACTTGTAGTACACAGGTTACCACTGTCTTTTGTTCTTGAATAATTCTGATATTTTCTGTTTTTTTTTTTGTCCTGGAAATGTAGAACTTTGAACTCACCTTAACCTTAAAGAAAACTTTCTGTACTTAGTATTATTTAATGAAAGCAAATCTGTTATTCTTTTAATCTCTTGTAGCACTACAACTGCTGTTTAGAAAATTGTATTATTTTTATTATTTTGAAACTATTTTATTAATTAGGGTAATGTTATGAAACTGATTTTGTTAGCATTGCTCTGAAACTTATTGCTTTTGTTTGTTGTGTTCAGTAAAATAAGTTTTTCATTTTGATGTTTATTAGAATGACTCTATGATATATTAATTTAAAAGATGAATAAATACATGAACTAAATCGTCTTAATTCTAACAGATAATTCTAATATTACTCTCTTGATATAGTTTAAGATGCTGGGAAGCTCAAACAAAGGCCAATTAACCACAAGTCAGCCTCCATCTTCACCCAATAATGACATCAGTTTATCATGAGGATTGTCAAATTAATCTCAACCTTAACTTTGCTTAATAGTTTTTAATAAATAGTATTAAATCTTGAGGAAGTAAAGCAGACACAGCACATGAATTGATCCACTGAATCATGTGGCACAAATGAAGCAGGAGGTAAAAAATACTTGTATCACTGGTTTCTAAGAAGTAGCAGAAATTTAAGATTTTGAAGAGGTTTGCTGTCTGAGACAGGATTGTCAATAAAATAGTGTTCAATTATTTAACTGAAAAAATAACATATGTGTTGAGCTGACTGCTATCACCCCTAACACTGTGAGAATAATTTGGGGTCATATAAAATTCATTTCTCATGTTAAAAGGTATAGTATTTGATAGTAGGAACCATTTAAAGTGTTTTCATCACTTCCTATTTAAGTGAATGTTAATTTAAACATAAGATTTTTCAGAGAAAGGATTTCTATAGAACACATTTCATAGCTGTTTGGTATTTCACTGAAATATTTTTATGCTATATAGACTTAGTGAACTGTTAGAAAACAGCCTTGAGGGACAGTGTTGTTGTTTGTCATTAAGAGGAGAAGAGTTTTTTTCTTCTGTGTTAGTAAATACTTGATTTGCTGTAAATGGGAAGAAACTTTGGTGTTCAATTGTAGATAGGTTTCTAGGGGTTGATGTGAAGAGTTATAATATCTTTGAGAGATGATTAACTTTACTTTTCATTAACTGATTGTCCAACTTTAATATAATCCTGTGTAAAGCTGAATTCCCTGCTTAAAGAGATTAGGGAGAGAGATTTCTTTGTAACCCTGTCAGTAATGATAGTGTTCTAGCATAATTTTTAATAATAACTAAAATCTGTATCATAGAGAATGCTAGTGCTGTTATTGTCTCTAAACCATAAAAGAACTTGGTTCTTGCAACTGTTTTCTGTCCTGGGGTCCTAGTTGTCTTGTCTGCTATGTATTTAGTGAAGATAAACTGCTCTTCCTTTCAATGATGTAACTATCTTCCAACACTTAAGTTGATATCTGTGGTAGGAGACAATCAAATCATTTTCCCTTCATTCTGGGAGAGTCATCTGGCTTACACAACATGATTACTGATGCTTTTATGCAGACATCTATCTCACCAATTTCTTTGATGTTTGGGAGAAAATGTTCATGTATGCTTGTTTGAACACCTTTATGCATTGAGAGAGGATGCTTTGGTTAAAATCAGTATATTTAGGTATTTCAATTACATATGTTAGGCAGTCTCCTGTAATGAGTCTGTCACTAATAAGATTAAAAAGTAACACTTTTGCTATTAAACAATGGTTATGTCAGCTCTGGTTATTGATTCAGTGGAGTTGTGACATGATTTGCCATGTCATTCCCCAGCAACTTTTCCTTGCCATTTGCAATATTGAGTAAGGTGCTTGATAATTTTACCTTTTCTCGCAATATAAGTATGAAGAAAGGAGCTACCTGTCAGCTTATTTGTATTTTATCAAGTAATGGAGAGTTGCTGTTTGTAATGCTCCTTTTGTAATTTTGAAAGTGCTGCATTGCTTACTGAGCTGTGTAAAGAGATCACATGTCCAAGAAAGTTGACATGGCAGTGAAAAGAAATACATCAGTTTATAGAAAAGTGATGAATTAAAACTAAAAAAAAATGGTTCCTCAAGACTCAAGCTCTTTTTCCTCCTGCTTTGAATTCTGATCAGTTTTCTTTTCCATCACCTAGTAGCAACAGCTCCCATTTTGATATTTTGTCAGTTATATCATAATCAATGGCAAATCAGTTTTACATCTGCTAATTTTATGCTACCTATGGAACTTCTGCTGTTAGCAGCTAGATATTGGAAACCTTTCCTCCATTTGGCTCATAAAACAAGTTTGTGAGTTTGAAAATGGTTGAGAGGTTTGGTTGGAAATAAAAGTTTCAAAGAATGAAGTAGATTGTGTGTCCATCATGTCTAGTAGTTTGACTGTGTTATTTACTACTTTACAGGAAAAGATAGTTGGACCAAGTTCTAACAGTTTGGATGAGTCTGAACTCAATAAGGGTCCAGACCCTGACATGGAGTAAGACAACAACTTGAGCATCGCATCCAAGGAATCAGAAATCACTCTATAAGCACCTGACTTATTAATGTGTAGGTGGTAATTAACAGATGCTGGATGACGCTATACTCACATGTGCAATTTTACTTGCATGTATAATTTTGCATAATTTTTCACTAAATCTATATCTTTCTTCTAAGGAGAATTTATAATTAAATTAGGGGCAAAATAGAATAATTTTCTATTATAATGATCATTGTGAAATGGAATCCTATCCTGGGAAGAGGTTACAGGACTGTTTTTATGGTTTAATGGGTACAGTGACTGTGTTGTGTTAATCAGGAGAATTACTGACTGGACTGATTTAATTCCAACTAGTGCGCACCAGATTTGTGTGTCACAGATGAGTGCAAGTCATTTATTGATACAGACAAGTTAGTAATCAGGGTAAAGGACTACTACAATTGGGAGAAAAAAATGCCAAAACTGTCTGAAATTGCCAAAAAGTTATTTTTAATATTAATAAACTACTTTTTAAAGAAACAGGATGTCCTTTTTTTATTGATTTACGTCTTAAGCAATTTTCATCTTTCCCCACCCCCCCCCCCCCCAACCTCACCAAGTTTCCAAGGGAAAAGAGAGCCCCTTTGTCAAAGCAAATTGATTTGCTCTGACAGAGAGTGAATCTTTTCCCTCTAATGCTCAGAACGTCCACTTTTAAATCTCTTTATGGTGGCAAAATCACAATATCAACTCAGTTGATATAAACCAAATTATGATTTTATACCCCTGTCCCCTACCCACCGCATAGCACTACAGTTTCTTTAGAAACTTACCTCTTTATTCATTTGTATACAAATGACTGAGCCCTCTTATCACTATTTACTTAAAGGTAAAATTAAAAAGTACAATTTTGACGAAGAACAAGACTCCACACAAAGAAAAACACTACTAAATGTGCATTCATTTTGTGGCGGTAAATGTCCAGTGTTTATCTACATAAATTTTCCCGTCCTAAGACTAGTTTCCAGTCTTTTGTATAACCTCTCGTGAAAAATCTTCTATCCCATGAGTCTGGTGGAGCGATACGTGTGCTCCAAACAGAAACTATGGCAACAGGCGCTATCATATAGCAACAGCAGCGGCCATGTTTGTTAGTGATACAATTTGAATCTCAGAGACAAGGGCTCGACGTAGAATTGAGGGCTATCTTTTAAGACACTATGGCTCTTCCATTCCTTCCTGGTAATGCCTTTACAGATCCAACGGTAAGTGGCGAGTGAAACGCGGTTTTATCCTCGATATGAAATACTGCAGTGCGAAAGTAACTTTTCTTTAATGTACAAACAAATCCTACTTCACTTTCAGAAAACCAAATTTCATAGATCTCAGACACTTGGATGGAAGAATGGCTACTCTCTACCAAAAGCACCCGAAATTGGTATCGGTGGAGACCCGATTCCTGTAAATAAACTGACTCAAGAAGAGCTGGATGAACTGGCAAATCTCAAACCTTCTTTAACGTACGGACAGAAAGTTCAGGCACCACCAGAAGATTTCGTTCCTGCTCACGTAGCATTTGATAAGAAAGTTTTGCTATTTTTCGGATATTTTAAGCAAACTGTCCACGAGTCATCCGGTGAATATTACAGAGTTCGTCCAGTGAAAGTTTATTATTATCTGGAAGATGACTCGATTGCGGTTGTTGAACCCGTAGTGAGCAACAGGTAAGCCCAGCGATAGGTCCTTGCGTGTTTGGGTTTTTGTTAGTTTGTAGACCTCACCCACCAAAATGTATAAAGTGACAAATGATAAATGATGATTGCTACAGTAGACTTGCTTGTAATTTCAGCTACAATTTGAAAAATGTTTTAGAGACCTGCCTCATTTGGTAATCAACTTTTGTAATTGTTACTCTGAATTATTCCAGTGAGGGTTAAAAGTCACACCTCCTCGCATTATAGTTGTATTATATGGACATACTGTAATGAGAACTGAATTTTACTTTCAGTGGAATTCCACAGGGAAAACTCATTAAGCGCCAACGGTTACCAAAAAATGACCTTGGTGAATACTGGCATTGGAAAGATCTTAACCTTGGGATAAACGTCACATTTTATGGAAAAGTCTTTCATCTTTATGACTGTGATGCCTGGACAAAGGTAAAAAGCTGCAACTTTGAACTATATTTGTAATCTGGCACTCTCTTTATTGAATTTTTTCTTAACCAACTAAAATGGTACCTTGTCTGAGTATTAAATTTTGGTTCCATCCCACTCATGATCTCTCCTTTAGAAAATGCCTGATAGATGTATTTCTGTTACAACGATTGTCATACTTTATGTATGTCATGCTGTGAATTATTCTTTCAACCTTTAAACCTTTAAAAGTGCTTATAACAGCAATGTGTAAGCACTATAGTGATGTTATCATAAAGAGTGACCAGCATCTAATTTCTCCTTACAATGTCACCCTGAATCACACATTGAGGTCATGAAAAGAAGGAAGTGATCACCAACTGAAGGATCTCTTAACTAAACTGATTCCCGTTGTCAGCACCTTTGGAGTATAGAAAACAGTATGGAAAATATGCATGTACTGATGTTTGGGTGTAATGGATTAAGTAGGTTTTGAATGGAGCCAAGGAACCCAACTAAAACTTTGATACATAACAGTGAATTGTCTGGTGTTTCAAGCATGAATCATACATAGAGTTGATCACAACAGGTTAGCTGAAGTTATTTCAACAAACTGGAAAAGAAAAGCCTGAAAAATAAGAATAACTTGACAGCTTCCCTCTTCAACTAAGAATCAAAGTCATCACTCTCTTTTATAATAAAGTCAGCTTTAGCTAGATCATTCAATTCATTTTAATTCTAATGTCCTTTGTTTCCTGGTGTAGGAATACATGGCCAGTGAAGGAATAGAACTGAACCAGCCTGAATTACCTGAAACAGATCCCTACACAGAATCACGCAAACAGCCACTACGTAGCTACAAGACTCCATCATCATTTGACAAACTGAAACAGTTCATAGAGTTGGATCGAAAAGTCCTAAGATTTTACTGTGTCTGGGATGACAGAGACAGTATGTTTGGAGAAATGCGGCCTTGTGTGAGTAATAGTTAATCTTTGTTGGATTAACTTTATCAAGATCCTCCTCAGACTGGAAGATGCATGTAATTGTCAATAACTCAGTGCATGTATTGTTGCTTGACTAACATCTAGTTCTCTTTTTTTCATTAGATCATACACTATTACCTTGTGGATGACACAGTTGAGATTAGAGAGGTCCATGCTGCAAATGATGGACGAGATCCATTTCCTGTACTTGTTTGCAGACAAAAACTTCCAAAAGACAGAAGTAATGTGGAATGTAAGTTAATCCTCGTGATGTGTTAGATAGAAAACCTTCTTAAGGAACTTTATGTACATTAACTTCTGAAAACGTATCTATCACCCTTGGTTAATATGCTGTTAGTCAAGTCAGGGCACTGATATTTTTTCTAGAAGGTGCTTATTTCATGTTTTTTCTTTTTTCAATTTACACCTTCAGTATGACCTTAAGAAAATTTTCTAGTGTGAGATTCTAAACATCTCTTGAGATCATTTGAGACATAAGTGTGATACACTGTCCTCATTAATTCAGCAATTCATTCTTTGCTGAGGGGTGCACTATTGAAATGCTTTGCAAATTAAGGGGGATATACTAATTGCAGTGCAGTACATTCTTAAAACTGGAGGCCTTGTGAAAGCATGTATGGTATATCTTTAAATTATTTTATTATTTTTCAACAGCTTCATTTCCTTCATGTGTTCTGGAGTTGTCTGATCATGAAATCAAAGACTGGTTTAGTCCAAGAGACTTCATGGTTGGGCAAACTCTTTTCATTTTGGGAAGGAGATTGTTATTGCATGACTGTGATGAGTTCACAAAGAACTACTACAGGAAAACATTTGGCATCACTGACTTCACTTCAGTTGATGTGAAGGGACTACCCAGAGAGCCATTACCAAAGGTAAATATTTACTTGTGTTCAGTAAGGCTATACCCTCACTGAACATCAGATATGTATGAAATACTTCAGCCAGATAAATTTTCCTGTATTTCTTCTGACAGGGGTTCAATAATCTTCTAATTTAAGTTTTCTGTAGGTTTGTTGAGTGCAATAGTCACAAACAGTGATGAGAGATTAAATTAGTCTTCCCAGACTGTACCAGTTTTAAAGTAAAATTTTTATTGGAATTGCCAAACATCTCATATGGGACTGAAAGTTAATGATGTTTGTGTTCACGCATATCTGTAATTCAAGTAAAATGTTAATTTTCCTTTGTTTACAATAGGATGTTCCACCTTACAATGGATTTGGATCACTTGAAGACAGCTTACAGTCTTGCCTGTCACTTGTACCTCAGCCTCCTAAAAAAGATTTCATCAAGATGCTGGAAAATGATCACAAAGTGCTGCGATATGCTGCAACAATGGTAATTCGCCTTTCAAAGAATTCAAAGTTATCTTCCCCCCCTCCCCTCCCAGCATGTTTAGTGAATTGTTTGTCACAATGACTTACAAACTTAAACAACAAACTATCTACTTATTTTATTGACTTTAACAACTCACTTAATATTCATTTTTTCTCTCAGGAAAGCTTCAGACCTGAAGACAAAAACAGGCGTTTTATCATTTACTACCGCTTGGCTGATGATATGTTGACAATCTATGAACCTCCAGTCAGAAATGCTGGTATAATTGGTGGAAAATTCCTTGAACGAACTCATGCCACCAAACCAGGTTCATCTGTTGATAATCCTGAGTTCTACACCCCAGCTGACTTTCAGATTGGAGCTTTGATACAGATCTTCAAGCATCGCTTCAGAATAACTGATGCTGATGAGTATGTATTAAAATATTTAGAATCACATGCTCGAATTTATCCCATCGATACCATCAACTCCATCAGAGAAAAGCATGGCAGACCACCCACCACCACAGAGGAGCTGGTAGCATCTGTTCCACAAGGAGATACTGACCCAAACTTACAGAAAAGACAACCAAGTGGAACAAAAACAGAGTATCAAAGAAGGTACTTACAATACTGGCTGTTGTACCAGTTTTGTTTTCAGTTTTTGTGATGATAATAATATACATAAAAAAATTATGCACTTCTTATTAGCTGAAAACTAGTGCATTTTTCATGTAACACTAGTGCAAAGTTGAAACACAAGTGCAAATTACAAAAAGCAAGCACTTGTTGCAAAATTTTGTCCACACTTAGAAATAAGAACTTGTAAATTTTTCAAAGACTAAAAATTGTACTTTCCCTATGGGCTTGTGCAATTTTGTCATCTCTAAAAATAAACTTGTGTTTATTAACTCCAAATTGCACTCTTATCATATTGTTACCTATACTTGTATCTGTAAATTTTGAGTGACTTAATGGACATCAAAAATGTCGCAACTTTCTAACATTGCTTCATAATTATTCTTCCTAGGTTTTGTGAGGGATAAACTTAAATGTTAACACAACACAAGATGGAAAACATCAAGACTACTTTCAAGTGCAAATTTTGTAAATTTTAAATTTATTTGTATCATTGACTTTCATTGTCAGAACTTCAGTCAATCATCTTCATATAGACCAAATAAACAGTCATTATGATCACAGATATTGTTCATAATATTTCAGATTTTTGTTCTTTGACCTGTGTTATTTTTTAGGTATATGTAGTTAAGGTTTGATATCATTACCTTTACACTAAATGCTTAGAGAATCTCGTACAACAGGCTGTAAGTATTGCATCAAAGTTAAGAAACTAAGACATAGATTGAGTGCATCTAATAGGTTGAATAAAGACATTGTCTGTTTTCAAGTGGAGAACAACTCATTTTCTTACTTCCTTCAGGGTCTTGCCACCACACCACAACTTAGCTCTAAAACTAGCAAATGTTTGCAAAATAATCTTACTCTCCTTTCTCAAAGAAAGGGGGAGGGGGAAAGAGAGACCATACAGCAGAATTGTGGAAATTAAGTCTACCCACAGTTCTATTTGACAAAAAGTACATATCCTTATCTAGATTCTTTCTTATACACCTGTGGTATTTTGTCTCCAAACATCTGTAATTCTGCTTGTACTTGGCTTGGTGACAAATGATTCATTCACCCACATCCTTCTCTTTGCATTTGTTGTTAAACGTAGTTACCATGTCCATCAATTTCATGTTGCTGGTTTTCATTGTTAAAGTATCTTTATCATCTATTTGAAAAATAAAATTCTTTAAGTTTCATTACTGATCATGTCAAAACATCTAAAGTTATTGGATAAACTTTTTATTCAAATTTCTTGTGATTTGGCTTATTTGCAACATACACATGAGATTCATTACTTAACAGTTATGATAGGTCAAACTGCCTTGTTCCACTCACCAAGGATAAACCTTGATTACCTGTTCCTTAAATTACATCACAATTAATGTTTATGAACAACATAGTCGCTTACTAATACACTGGAGCACAATGTATGCTGGGCAGTTCCCTATTTTTTACACAGACTTAGAGAAAAATAACCTTGAGGTTTGCTCATGCTGGGGAGGAGGACATAGAACTATCACCATTAAATTTGTTACTTCAAGGAGAAATTCACACACTGGGGGCCTCAATAAATCTCCCTAAAACATCACCATGAATATCATTAATTTAAACTGCCTGGCTGTTGTGCGGAGGTAACCAATAAAGGGATTTAAGAAAAAAAAAGCAGTTGATGTCAGAATAGCCATGGAACAAGATAACAAGGCAGTCACTAGAAGGTGGCCATTTGACTTTTAATCAGGTTTGCCGAAGTTATGGGAAGGTAAACAAATGTTACTCACTAAAGACAACATCAACAACTGGTTCTGATCCATCATTCTTGAAATTTGATATGACCTGGCATTTAGGATTGGAGTCTATCATTCTTCGACATGAAACTCTTAAAAGGAAGTCTCTAAAAATTAAAAAACAGTCAAGTGTCTTACTGATAGGCTGAAAGTGGATTTTGAGCCAAGCTACGTAGCATCAGCTGCACAAGTATTCACAACTTTTTAAAGAGAGTGACGTGCAAAAAGCCAATCCCAGTAGATATGTACCAAGATTATTCCTCTGGTAATTTGTTTTGAAACATCATGGTGTAAATAAAAAATACCACGTGAAAAAAACATTTTCACAGAAATATCAACAAATTTAAAAATTAAATTATTTGCGTCTGTTTTGAATGGTATCTATCACTAAAAAAGGTTCAACCTCTCGTGTTTTATCTTACAAGCAGAATATAATGCGAGAGGTTGAACGATCTCTAAGTTGTGTGAGTATAACGTTACATTCAGGTTGTAGCAATGAATTTTGTCAAAAGGGTGTAATTACCTTGCTGTCGCCGTTTTTGGGTCAAAAGGGCAAAACGAAACAGTTAATCTAGCAACATGTTTTAAGGAAGCACCTCTGATGGCCGCCATTTTCGGGGACTGCTGACAAGGAGCCAAAGTGACCCTGGGCTCGAGACTGGACGTCACGACAGATGTATGTCATTACCATTATGACATCATCAAAAACCTGTTTGTCCAGTTTTACGAGTACCAGTCGGAGCGCCATCTTCTGATAGTCTCACTGTGTCAGTTACTAAGAGTAAAATGCCAAGAAACGGTCGAAGAAAACGTTCTCTTAGCTCAGGAGAAGATAGTCTAGTTTCTTATTACTCTAAACATCGATGCCTAGAAAGAGAATACAGCCCTGTTTCTGAAACTCGCCATTTAAAACGTGGCAGTTCACCAATTCGTAGCCGGGAGCGGAGGCATAATCGTCAATTGACAAGAAATCGAAGCCGCAGTACCCGACGAAGTGACCGAAAGACAAGAAGACACAAACATCGTAATGATTTTCCCGATAGTCACGCGGTAAGAAGCCACATTAGTGTTTTTGTTTTTTGTGGTATAGTCAATCGGAGGGTGAAGTTGTACTACTAAAGTGTTGAAACAGTCTTCATCTTAATCAAACAATCAGCTCCAAGTGAAAATTGCCATTCCGCTTCAAGACTCTGGAATTATTTGGAGATCGGATACTTGTTACTTGTGACTAACTAATTATATTCGTTCGAAAAATTATGGCTTTGCTGCATCTAATCGAAAGTACATGATTTGTTATAAAGACTATTTTCAATGAATGGTCACCATCTTGTAGATTTCAATTGTTTTGAATTCTACACACGCGACATGTGCTTAGAGTCGAGCGACAAACAGCGAATGGTGGTGTGACGAGTTTCACGTTCAATTTGCTGCCTTTCATCCGAATTTATGAGCCTGTCCTAAATTAATTAATTCGATAATAAGCACTTTTTTTAAGGAATCTACCCATCTGCGAATGATTAAATATTCACTCTTAATAGTGGAAATGAGCTTTTCAAAGCCATCCAAAGATTGTGGCTGAAAATAATCTGCACATCACTGGGGCAATAGTGGCATGTGATAATATAGCTCTATTACATACCTTATCCATATATTCATGGCTATCTCATTCAATAATCTTTTGTTTAAGATAAAGCTCTCTTGAAGAAATAACTCATTTTTAACGAGAAATTTATCCATGGAAGTATGGAAGCTCACTGTCAAGAACAAGCTTAACTTTCACAAATGATAATGGAATATTTCCTAAGAGATAGATGCTTTTCCTTCCAAATAAACTTATGTGTTTGCTGTGTGTGTATATTTTGCTATTTTCTATATGTTTGAAAATGGGGTGGAACTCCGGATGTGATCATGCTGATGCAAATTATGATGTCGGGATGAATTGCGCCCATGCCTTCCTGTGAAATATGTCTATGAATGATTGAATTGTACGCGTGAAACGGATGCTGCACCGGTTGCACAGAAGCCAACATGTGTGGATGATCCGGGCAGATGCTTTTCAAGTAACAAGGATGATGACGACGGTCACCTGATATATCACCAGGGCGACATGCTGCACTCCAGATGTACTAATTTTTCTTGTTTCATTCAGTAACTGGTAGATACATGTTACTAAATTATACTTCCTTAGCCTTGGAACTTGTTCTCACCTTCTAGAAATGAGTGGCTGGTAATTTTACTGTACTATTGGCCACAGTATTCTTGTTTGCATTGTGAAATGTTGATCACTGTGCTTTTATATTTAACCCTATGTATATCTTCTATTGGGACACAACATATATTACTAAAACACCTAAGCTGTAGTATTTGTTCAATTTTGATTTCCTTTGATAATCTGATCATGGGATAAAGATCAATATGGAAGTGCTTCTTTTCTCAATATTTGACTTGGTTGTTTGGTTTTCTTTCAGATGAGATTAACACACTGTTAGGTGAGGGAACATTTGGGAAAGTCTTGGATTGTCATGACAGGTTAGTTTGTTGTGTCAGTAGAGTTTAAGATTCTAGAAAAACTTCCTTGTTTGTTTCTGTCAAACCCTGAAGAACCTTGAGCATTGGAACCATGGTTGGATTGTTTATTTGGTGAGAGGAAGATTAGAGAAACTTAAATCAGGGTGTAACAGGAAAACTTTCCCATTTTTAGTCTTCACATTTTTCAAATGAGTTTGAAAGTAACATTCCAGCTTCATTTGTCTGACACAGGCTCCTTAATTGAGTCAAATCATCCAGAGAGTTTTTGACAAGTATTGTTTTTATCATACATACTGCCAAAATACAGCTGTGTTGGGGAGGGTAGTGGTCTGTTACAACACTTATATTCTCATGAGATGGAGCTGTATTTAAAAGACAATAATTTTGTATTGACAGAAAAAGTAATTCATATGTTGCTGTGAAAGTGATCAAGAATGTTGAAAAGTACAGGTTTGTGCATAACTTATTCTTGGGAGTGTTCAAATATATTAGCAAGGTTTGTCTTGAAAGAGCTCTTCAACTCTCAATTTTAATGAGGTATTATGTCAAATAATTATTTTATAGGGAAGCTGCAAAACTAGAAATCAAAGTACTTGAAAAGATCCAGCAAAGAGATAGGAATGGCAGAAGGTGCAAATGTTTTACCTTGTTTCACTTCACTGTTTTTGTTCTTATATAAGAAAAAGTTTCATGTTAACTTCTCTTATGCGATTTGGTCTCTGGGTGTTACTTTTGAACATTAAAAAACTGTGAACCAGAAGAATGAAAAGGATATTCTTATTTTTCACCAAAAAAGAAGCTTTGAGAAATCTAAACTGCAAGCAGCAACATTTACCAGTTTGTTGTTTGTTGGTGTGTCTAGAACTGATTCATGATTGGTCAGCATATGATTGACACATTAGAGTCAAATCAAAAGAAGGTTTTTGATTTTCACAGTTACATGGTAGTCTCCTATTGGTAGCCAAGTTAATTTTACCACTAATCAAATAGCAGTTAGAAAGTGAAGAAAAATAATTACTTTGTAGGTTTTATTTCCTTGCAATACATTGTTCAATACTGTTAGACCCTCACAATGGTAATGATCATAATCACTGAAGATACCTTGTTATGTAGTTTTAACATGATCTTCTTTTCATTTCTTTCAGCTTGTGTATTGTGTTGCTCGACTGGTTTAACCATCATGGCCACATGTGTCTTGTGTTTGAGAAGATGGGTCTGAGTGTGTTTGACTTCATGGTAATTGAGAAGCTTTTGTTTCCCTTTGAGCCACGGCATAATTAAATGTTTTTATATAGTCTTGGTTAACAACTTCCTCCTCACATGGACATAGTATATTGACTCTGCTGATATGAATCCTCTTTGTTCAGTGACTGACCATCCAAATTTTTTATTAAGTACATACGTTTTTCTGCTTGATTTTTTCATTGTTCCATCCACATTAAGTTGTTCATAAATAAAGCTTCCCCAGTTTACAATTGATTTATTATTTCTATTATCTCTGAATTATTAACAAACTAATAAAGGGGGTAAGTTTCTAAAGAAACTGTGATGCTGTGTTGGTGGGAGAGTATGGCTGGTAATTTAGTGTTAACCACTGACTTGAAAACATAAATTGGCCATGTTTCGAATGTTAGCCCTTTGTAAATTGTTCTGACAAAGGGCTAACGCTCGAAATGTCAGCTTTTTTACCCTTTATGGTGGCCAATTTACATTTTCAACTCAGTTGTTAACACTAAATTAACCATTAACAAACAGTACCTGCTTGTTACTTGTTGTGACTACCGTAATTTTCTTTGACATCATCAAACCTTGTGGACCCTGTGAATCTCATTAAATTGCTTGGTGGTTGAGCATTAAAAAATGGACCAGTAGGTCATAAGTTCAACTGTTGTGTGTAGCTCTTGGGCATACCACTGTCACCAACAAAAAAACTTTGTGCATCTAGTTCAGACAATTTGCTAAATTACTTAAATCATTGCCTTCTCTTATTATTTGTATGAATAGAAGGACAACAATTATGAACCTTATCCACTGGAACAAGTCAGACATATCTCCTACCAACTTCTTGTTTCAGTAAAGTGTGAGTATCTAAGGCATTGAAATTTAAGTACTGGTTTGAATCCTGTAATTGGCTTATTTCCAGAACTTATGCCTTGTGCATACAATCATTATTATTAGTATTATTATTTTATATATAAATATATTTACTGGTTGTTGAATAGCTTCTGGATCATTACTCACCAATTCACACAAACTTATTCAGTCAGAATAAGTGAAGTTTAAAACTAAAAACTATTTACAGACAGGAATCTTCATATTTACATTTAGATAAACCATAACCAATCAGCTGTACTGACCACACAGGAGTATAACCCAAGAGAGTTTTGTTGATATATAATACTTATTTCTGATGATTGATTTTTAGTTCTTCATGATATGAAGCTGAGTCACACTGATCTGAAACCAGAAAACATGCTGTTTGTGAATTCTGACTGCAATGTTACATATAATCCAAGACTGGTTTGTAAACAAAGTTTTGCTTTCTTGTTATGTACTAAAATTAGATTTGTGTAAATAAGGTTGTTAAGAAAGTCCATCAGAGTTTTTATGAACAGGTATTTTTAACCCTTACAATAATATTTTGTTGTTGTGGAAATATATTTGTTGTTGTTGTTGTTGTTGCAGAAACGAGATGAGAGAGAAGTAAAAAGTTCTGACATGCGTCTGATTGACTTTGGATCAGCAACATTTGATCATGAACATCACAGCACTGTTGTTTCTACAAGACACTATCGTGCTCCTGAAGTCATTCTTGGTGAGCAGTGTAATCAGAGCACATGATATGTCAGGGACTCTTCCTCAGTAGTGTTATGTTGTGGAATCTTCCTCAGTAGTGTTATGTTGTGAACTTTCTTTAGTTGTTTGCTTTTTGTTTTCCCTTTGAGTTAGTGCATTGGGTTATTTAGATGGACTTGGTGACATGCTTGCAGTAAAACTTGCCAGGGGCCTTGAGTAATGTCTCCAGTTCTCTGTTGATTCACTTGATTTCATCAACAAGTTTCATCATCTAAAATCCTATTTTTCCTTTTATTCCTTAGAGCTTGGCTGGTCATATCCATGTGACATGTGGAGTGTTGGTTGCATCATGTTTGAACTGTACACCGGCTTCACTCTCTTCCAGGTAACTTCACTTAACAGAATACAACTTTAGTATTGATTTTGATAAAGTAATGACTTCATTAGAAACACTTGAAATTGTTCATTTGTCAGAGGAGATGATAACATAAAAATGACCTTTAGTGATATGAATATAAATCTAGTTGTACCATACAGTATTATAATAAATTGCCTCTTTGGAGTTAACTATTGTGAGAATTGTCCATGAATTTGCTCTGTGTATTTCTGATAATTCATAGTTAAATTTTACTTTATGTTTGATTGACTTTAGACTCATGAAAACAGAGAACATCTTGCGATGATGAAGAGAATATTGGGTCCTATACCTTCCCATATGGCTAAAAAATCTAGGTGAGAAAAATTGTGATGGCAACAGTAACTTAATACTATTGAATTGCAAATTTTGGGCTAACCCAGGGTAAACTCTAATAATGATGAGCCCATTAAGTTCATGTGTTGAATTAATCGTTTGTTTATCTTTTCTGATTTTATTCTTTTGATTCTTTTAGAAAAACCAAGTACTTTTATAAAGGTAAACTAGACTGGGACGAAAGAAGCTCAGCTGGAAGATACGTGAGAGAGAACTGTAAGGCGCTTAAGGTACGCTACATATTTATCACTCGTTACTTATGCGTTTGACCAAACATCTGACTTGTAACTACTAGAAACAGACTTGTGCTTCCCTGACCAAGATAGGAATAATAATTAAGAATATAAATTCTGCATCGAGTTTGTTTAGCCTGGAGTTTAGATTGAATATATACAGTTAAACTGTTTTGTGTGATATCATCGGCAGGATGTGATGGCGATTGTTTTTATTTTGTTGTTGTTTTCATCAGAAATACAAACGTGGAGATGGAGAGACACACGAACTGTTCTTCAACCTCATCGAACATCTGTTAGAATACGAACCTGATCGCCGGTTAAGCGCCAAGGAAGCCATCTGTCATCCATTCTTTTATGGAATGATAATACATTCGTCAGTAAACAGACATTCACACAGCAAGAGTAGATGACTATTAACAAGGAAAAACACAAACACTCGGGCATACTTCGCTCGCACGTTATTCTATTACGCTCTACTTTTTATTTTTCTCCTTTTCTCTTTTGCTACTTCCATGTAGCTGAAAACGTTTCGTTATTAGAAAAGCGGTGAAGTAATAAGAAGTAGACTGAAGCGTTCACGAGTACTGTATGTTTACCCCCATACCTCCCCTCCCCCGTGACAAATAATGACAAGGCAGAATTGTTAAATAATGATTCTAACGAGAGCTGCGATATTTAACACTTCACATACGTGATGTACATAACGGACATAATGATCATACAATGTAAGATGGTAGTTACGAAAAACTGTCAGCCAGTGTATTGGACAAGTCATTGGCGAATCTTCCGACATAAATCCAGTTTGCAACCTATTTTTCTTTTCGTTCCTACGCGGAAATGAAAATCATTTCATTCTCTAACGAAGTGTGAACAGCAATATGTCATTGTTTTTAATGTTGCTTATCAGGATGTGCAGACTTATTTTGGTCGCCTTTACGGAGAATTTTATTCAGAATATTTTATGGAACATTCATTGTGCAGTGTTACACGTAAGATGCTTATAACGACATATAATGAGAAGAAGTGAATAAATTATGGACAGAGAATTTTACTCAGTGTTTGTTTTTATTTTATTTAGTGTTTGTTTTTTATTCAATTTATTTCTTTTGACACGTTAATCTTCTCAGAAAGTAGTTTTCTAACTTTTGTTTGGACAAATGTACTTCTTCATCTCGAGTGAATTTAGCAAGACTAAGCAATAGCTTGCACTTTCCTTGATGTGCTGTTGATGGTATACTGAACTTTTTAACAGTTGGAGGGGTTCAGGCGAGTAACAGTAAATAATGAACTTACTTGAAAGGCTAGGGAGAAGATGGAGTTCAAAAAATAAAAAAGTAGAGGAGATGGCCGCGGTCCGTGCGCCAAGCGGACTTGGGCTTTCGTAGGTGACTTTAACTGCTTCCGTTTCCTGTATTTCTGGGAACTTCAGCTCTTTTCTTAGAAATATTAAATATTCATACGTAGCTCACGTCGTGGTCACTGTTTCACCGTTGTAAAATTTAAGGATTTTCTTACAATTGAAAAAAAGCTTCAACTTTAATCTAGTAAATCAGGATTGGCGGCCAATCTTAAATCCGCTTTCCTTTTCCACCGCAGTGATGAGCGAGCGCACCAAACAGTACACCAGCGCTGGCGCGCGAACAAGTCGAGGGCAATTTCATGTTGCTGTTTGGTACTGAAGACATTTCATCCGCGGACTTAATTGTTATTTGGTGAGTTAGCAACATAGAATAAACGGCTAAATGTAAGATTTCTGACTTTTTCTTTCAAATACAACAGTATTTTGTTTCAAGAGGTGACGAAGAGCTCATTATGTTTTCGCTGTCTCGTAACATTGTTTTTAGTCCTTATAGATGTTATAAGCACATAAGGGTTTATATCAACCTTGAGATAACTTTAAAGCGTTTGTATAGATTCGTTCCTTTTGTCGCATACTCTCACTTCCGGTACGTAAGACAGACAAGGGACGACACTCGTATTGTTCGGTGTTGTCTCGTGTCCAGGCTTGTAAGCGCTTGAATTCTCGGAAAATGTCGCGTCATTGCTTTAGCAATAATTTTCATATTGGATAGGAGACTTCTCCTGTTTTTCGGTACGTATTTTTAAAATTACTTTCAAATTGTTCGAAGTTAAGGAATTTTAGGCATTGACACCTAGTCAATTAGATCAAAATCAGGACTTTGGTTCGCGAGCGGCCATCCTCCCGGCCGGCCATTTTCTTTTCTTTCTTCCTCTTGCGATTTTTCCTATAAAGTCTTGTGAACAAAATAGGACGATTTTATTTAATTTGCAAATGAAATACGGCAACATGTGACAATTCTTTTTCTCTGTGATCATCGCTACGGCCTTTCTTTCGCTGGTGATCGCACAATAAGGCTTTGCAAACATTTTCAACGCTTCGGGTTCTAACCTGCCTAATCACGGAACAACTTTGTGAAACGTATTTCTTCGTTTGGTTTCTTCCGTCGTTAAAGTTTTAAATGTTAAGTCGTAGTACTTTTATTACGCGACAAGTTTTCTGATAAGAATCTGACACAGTGATACAAAAAGCGAGTTTGTCTGCCTTTTGTTGGATTTTATCTCACGATGCGTCACTGATTATCCAAAATAACTCTACAAAATAGGAACCGTAACTTTTAGGACTGGGATCCTTTTGTCTTGTCGGCTAAGTCCATTCTGTTTTGCCAACCCTGTTATATCTTTTATCTCAAACGTATTGTTTCCGAGGAAAGCATAGTCTTAATTGCAAGATCACAGCAAAGTATCGCCCGAGTGTAGTCCTTCAAATTTAGAAACAGGAGAGACAATATTTGAAAACCGAGGGGTTTAACAGTTTTTGAGAACTCATTCGCAGTTCGATTCAACTCTTTAATTTTCATCAGTTTGTTCCAATCGTTACTTAAGTTGTATTTCCTATGTTGGCTTGATGTTCCTCCTATGTTTTGACGGGTTATTTTTGTTACTCTCTTAGTTTGGTGGCCAGTTGCAAATGTCTGATTTTGGCTAAATTCCGCAACATAGCTCCCGTAAGGTAGAAACCAAAATCTAGAACGATCCAAATAAGGTTAGCTCAACAGATGAATCTTTGCTTTCTAATGTTTGTTTGTTCAAATAATCGTTTCAATCCCTTCTCACTTCTGGAGATAAGAGAAAATTTTAGATCTTTGGACAACTAGCATTATCTCAACTTTCTGTGCCATTACATCACGATATGTTACGTAGATTCCTTCCTTTTTATTGCGAACAAGATCATTCACCTATTGAGACATTTCCTATCAATGAATTCATTTCATTATTTCCTCTTGAGAGGACTCGCTTGATTGTTTCTTTTTTACGTAAATTGCTCAAAAATGTTATGTTATTGGATTTCTAGGAAATATGACAGTTTGCGGAAATTGTAGTTTTTCTGAGTAAGAAACGAACAATGTCGACCCCTGTGATTCTCGGAAAAGAAAATTGAACTAATAATCCAGTGTGTTAGAGCATTTCGGATGAATATACAGCGAAAAACATTTTGAGGTAATTTGTACCTTATGTATTTTGTTGACCAAGACAAAGTGTCATAGAAGTATCACTGTTGTTCAGTGTTCTTGTTCACGATAAGTTTCTCATATTCCAAAATTATTCACTATATTATATTATCAAGTAGTAATATTATCATATTACGTCTAGTGTATTCTGATTAGCGGAAATTTTATTGTACCATATACTTAGTTGAATACTTAAATAAATAGATACACGAATTTGCGTTCATAGTTTGTGACCATGGCTGATTTTCCAGACTGGAGGGTTGAATCCCCAGAGGATTCTGCATTTAAATGGCTTTGCGAGGGTCAATATATGAAAGCAATTCTCTCTTTTGAGTCCTGGATCCTGCGCACAAAACACACTTGGACTGATGATAAGGAAAAGAAACTTGGTGACCTTTATAGAGGACTAGCCGAAGCATATTGGCACGTCCACTGTCCTGATGATGCTTTAGAGCAGATATTACGCTGCGTATGGGAGAACTGCCACGAATTTTCTGAGGTAACTCTTAACGATACTCAGTTCTGCCCAGCTGTCCAATAAAAGACAGAAAGTTCTGTCCTTCTTCTTTTCCACCAAACTGTCGAAGTATGGTAACTTCTATTTCCCTCCGCTCTTCAACTTCTTGATTATGGTTGGTTTTTTTGTATTTTTTATTGTTGTTTTTTATCAACAGAGACGCGATTGTTATGGTAGATCATTTATTTTGCATTTTAATCTCACCATTTTGCTAGAGACACGTGAGCCGTTGGACAATACTTGCTGATAAACAGGTTGAGAATCCAGAGTTTAAGCTCAAAGGCTATCAGATAGCACTTCAGTTTGTTCCACCTCATGACCTATTCAAAAGGAGCCATCTGCTGTCAAAAATGTTGCTGTTTTGCTGCGAGTCTGGGTCATCCTTCCAAACCATGGCCGGTTTGTTTATGTGCGCAGCGAACGAGATAGAAGTTTGTGAACAAGAGGTGGGAACCAAAAACAGTATCATTACCTTAACAAATGAAGCACAGCATTAGTGAAATCCTTTTTATCCTTTAAGGTCATTCCTCTGAAATGGGACCTGCACTGAGATTTTTTTTAATTTTTACCTATTGGTTGTTTATCTTGAAGGAGCGTAAATTTTGAATAAAAAGGACAGGTCTTCAGGTTCGTTTAGGAGCGGCAGTACCTTGTACATACCCATATAATTCCCACAGCATCGTGACAATTAAATTTTCGCCACTTGCCATCTAAGCGTTTCCAAAAATTGTCCGGTACTTTTCCTACGCTGAAAATTGGTTTATACTTATTTGACGGAAAAAAGTCAGTGTAGGAAAGCGAAAAGCATGATAGATCATTGTGTTCGTTTTCTAAAAATAAGGAATTACCACTCTGGCGAGCTCCAACCATAGAAAGAAGCCGCCATTTTTTTAATGTGTACGATCTTGCAGTGCCACTATGATCAAAATTTTGGAATTTTATTTCCTTCATCAGGCTTTAAGAATAGCTTTCATTTGCAGCAAGGGAATACCGCCGTCTATCCAACTAATAATTTTCGACCGTTATTGACTGCTTTTATTTTGACATCTTGTATTACACCTCATAAATGAGGTCTAATATAAAATGGCATAAAATTATCCGTTGCCTCGACCCCCCACTTCTTTGAAAGTCATTTAAGTGCTATCATTTTATAGCTAGCGGTTTCCTCTCATATAGGACCTCGCAAAAATTTGGTTGGATTGCGGAAAAAAGATTCTACCATTCAGAGATTCTTTGAAGATATCTGTTGAGTGCTTTACTCTAGCACAAAGGTTTTTGCCAAGTGATGAGGACAAGATGAAAGCCCGGCTCTGCTTTCTAAGGGCAAAGACTATTTTATCTATTGGTGAGTCCAGTCAGTATGCTCAAGCAAAGAAGGATGCCCAGACGTATGTTGCACTCCGCCCTTCTAAGACGAAGGTAGTTACATTATATGTATATTTCTTTTCATTTACGAGGCTACTTAATGAATTTTTTGGACTGAATGTTAACCTACCACCGGAAACTAAAAGGACAAAGGTTGGTGTGAGAAAAAGAGGGCCAGAAAAATTGAATTCATTGACACGAATTTCAACTTGGGATCAGTAGTACAATCGATATTGTCTTCTTGCTTGCTTTTTTTGAAGCAAGGCAAACGTCAACTATTGAATCAAGGGGGTAAGTTTCTAAAGAAACTGGTGCAACTGAGTTGATAACGTAAATGGGCCACCGTAAAGAGTTTCAAAGCTGGAGTTTCGCTCTGACGAAGGGCTAACGCTCGAAACGTCAGCTTTGAACTTTTTACGGTGGCCGATTTACGTTATCAACTCAGTTGATATACTAAATTACCTGTTAAACGTCAACTATTGTCGAGGCAAGAAATTAATTATGCTATTTGTAGAGGGAACTTGAACGTTTCCCTTCTCTTTATCTATTCTTTCCATCACTCAATTATTAACAGGTGATATTATTAACTCTTTGAAAACCCTGCACTACACTCTGCCTCCGAGCACTCCCGTCTGCCAATGAGATTTCAGAACTTCGTGGAGTCCACGAAGTTTGAAAAATCAATATTGCTTGAGCTTCCTTTTCTTTTCAAGGTTTTTTGTTTGAATTTCTATGTAATTTTAGTCATTCTTTGTTCAATTTCTATGAATCGCGACAGGGCTACTCACTGTTATGGGAATGCTCTCTTCGATGCCATAATTATAAAGAGGCACTTGTGAATTTTGGAATAGCGCAGGAAACTTTGAAAGACCGACAAGAGGAGAAATATCAAGAATTTTACAAGTTTTTTACATCAGCCGTATCACAGAAAGGTAAAAAAGATGTATACAATTATTTTCATGAAGATTTATATGGAAACATCCATCTCAAAATTGCATTTTTCGATGCCGTCAGTACCACGTTCCGCAATCATTGAGGGCGTTTTAATGTGCTTGACTACAGCTGTAAGAGCATTAAAAGTATGCCTATTCAAACCGGCAAACGCACAACATAGGACAGGTGAAAACGATTTGAAAACGATGGCGTGGACGAAGAAGATAAACGAAAACGAATAGTTTTGAAACCGCATGGGTGTGATTGAGGCTTAAGAAATCGCGTCGAGGCTGGACTGTCGCTCGAGTGACTGCTAACTGTTTACGAAAGAAATAATAGTTTTATTGTTATCTTTTTCTCTTACTCTAATCAACAACGAATATGGGACCATAATACCATTCTTTACTAGCACAAAAGTTTTATTTCATAGGCACATGTGTGCCTTGTTAATTGCTTGATGTTCAGGTCTGAGAATAGATGTGAGAGAGCACTACATAAAGCTTTCTCGCAGATAACCTAGCAGGAGTAGGTCCGCTCACCTCCTCTTTGGTTTTGAAACGGCTTGGAATATTTCAGGTCGAGTGTTAAGAGTGTTTAGAGAATTTTGTCTTAGTCCCTATGATTCTTAGTACAAAGTGACCATTTGTTTTACAACTTGTTTTTTGATTGATTGTGTCCCGTGCAGCATCTGAAGTATTCAAAGAAGAATGTCCTGTCGCTGGCTGCTTAGTGGAAAGACTTATTAGCGAGTGCGCTGCCAAAGAAACCGTTAAATACCTATCAGTTCTCTTCCTTGACGGCTGTTGGGCCACTACATGCGATGCCTCTTGTGTTCCACTGGACAGGGTATTGAAATCTGACATAGAAAACCGCGATGAATTAGTCAAAATCCTCCTGGAAAAGAAAGCACTTCCAAATGGTCTTTTAAACAGAAGTAAATCCCCGCTGTCAATCTGCATAGAGGAGGACTGTTTGGACTTGGCATTGATTCTTTTACAGTACGGAGCTGATGAAAAAGAATTAGTGCAAAAAGATGGAGAAACTGCTTTACATGCTTCCTTACAAATTGCCTTGAATTCGAAGAAAGGTAAATCAAGATCATGTCTTAGAAAAAATTCAAAATATAAAGAACTGTGGCGATATCCCGGTATTCGAATAATACCTTAAATATTTGTTACCAAGTAACTCTCCCTTGTAGCTTGATAAAAATTTGTTTTTTTCTTTTCTTTGCTCTGGAAAACAGGCAACTTAGAAATCTTCCAGTTCTTTCTCGACGGAAAAAGATCTGATGCCGTCGATGTACAGGACAAGGATGGGAACACTCTTCTGCATTTACTTTGTCAAGGAAGGATGAACTCTAAGAAACGGGAAGCCATGAATCTCGTTCTTAGAGCAGGAGCAAATACGTCAATCGTAAACAACAAAGAGGAAAGCCCCATCGATCTTCTCTGTAAACAGAGGCAAGGCTTATATTTGTTGATTACATTTGTGCGAGTGAATATGATGAAATAACTTTCGTTCCCTATCTATGATTACCTTGGATAATCTCAATAAACACTTAATGTCGCACTCATTTACTTCATTCTCTCATTTTCCATGTAAAGCAAAAGGTCAACTGAAAATAGATCACAAAACGCTAACTGATTCAATGTACTTAGAAACGTAACAGGACACTGAAAAGCTAAACATTACAAAATGAATTTACGAACCAACATTTGCGGCTCAAGTTCTCAGGAGAATATCCAAACACGTGCATTCTCCAACTCAACCAATAGTTTACTAATCAAGTTTCATATACTGTAATACGGTAAAGATTTTGACGTCACGGCAACACTGTCATCGTAAATCATTCAAGGGGTAGACTTGCTACAGAAAATGGCTTCATATCAATAGATTCTGTTTTATGGACGAGCAGATAGCTGTAGAGTTGAAAACAATTGCTCAGTGCATCCTACGCCTTATTAATAATTTTAGTTGTTTTGATCGTTTTTATCATCACAAGAGTGCAAAACTGTTAGTACGGTAACTGTGGATTTCGTGTGAAAAAGTAGTATTATTAATCTTATTGGCTTTTCTCGTCGCAGATTTTTCAATGATGAAAGAATAACTTTACTGTCCTCTGCTTCGGAATGCTTTGAAAGCTCATCATCATGTGAGACGAACACTCCAGAGCAAGAAAGTAAAAACGAAGGCAACGAGGTGGAGGGAGAGAGAAATTTAACAGAACGATCGAAGAATATTTCACGTAAGAGGAAAATTGATAAAAAAGCAACTTCCAAACAATCTGTGCTTTCTACAAATTCTATCGTTGGTGTCCAAACGGAATCTTTGTCCGTTATTCGTAGAGATATAGGGTCGATGATACAAAATTTGGATATCCGTGATTGGATCAAGAAAAATGAATCCACAGAAGTGGTCGAGAGGAGCGAAAACCCAAAGAATGAAAGTGGTCAAACTCAAAGTGATAGCGTCATGCAGTTAAAACTCACGAGCGATGATAGAGGATTAGTGCAAGAAGATGAATCACGATCGTTTCTGAGGGATGAAGAACAAAGTTCTGGTATTTCTGATACAACAGAATATTGCATCAAGGGAGCTTTCGAAGGACTGCCATGGGAGGTGGAGTGCACTGCAGAAGTACGGAAAGTGTTAGAAAGCGAACGTCTGGAGCCGTGGAAGATAAAGCTCTTTGTCGAGAAAGTGGGAACTCTAGCTCTAGGCCGGCACAACTGGTCCCAGGATCTCTGTAAAATTCTGAAGGGTGTACCAAAGAACTGTGGAATGCGTCTTTATGAAGCGAAACTGACAAAAGCTGCAAGAATCATCTGGGAATGTGCAGTTGCTTTCTCTCCCCAATATTCATACGAGGACGAGAAAGGAAAAGTCACGATTTATTCAGAGGTTATCCGTGTATGGGATATTGTGTTTGATCATGATAACATCTCACGCGCTAAAGATAACATTGTTACATCATTCATCCGAGGAAAGGAAGGCGTGGCGAGGAAGGAACTTAAACGACTTCAGTCACCAGACCAAGGCCCTAATCTTTACTGTAGGCGTTCACGCGATTTCCTATCTGGTTACCCCACTCTACTTGCAGTACCAAAAGAGAATGTACCCCGTAACGAAGCAAATGAAGATCAAGTGACTTTTTTCCCCCCTGTTAGTCATAACGACAACGAGTACCAAGTACTGAAATTTTACCACCTGTCTACAGCAATGATTCAGACAATACTGAAACAGCAACCATGTCATGTAGTCCTTGACTTTCCATTTCGAGTAACAGAAGAGGAGCATGCCATCATTAACTTTGAACCTTTCCCCCAGAGTTCCATCATCTTGATTGGACGCAGTGGTACGGGAAAAACGACATGTATTCTTTATCGCCTGTGGAGAGATTTTGAAAACTATTGGGGGAATGCTGTTAAAAGTGGACCACTAATGCCTAAGAAGATTGGGTTTCTTCCTGAAGACCAGTGGGACTCTGATTCATCAAAAGTAAATGTACCAGCTGGCAGACAACTTGATGAAAATGAAGATGGCTGTAGCAGAGAAGTAACTTCGAAGGATGACGACGGAATAGCATCATTTCTGTCTCCATCTCCCGAATCCGAAGAGTCCTTGGAGCATTTCCACCAGCTGTTTGTAACCAAAAATGGTGTCCTCTGTCAACAAATCTCAAAAAATTTCATTGCTTTGAGCCACGCGTCTTCATTTGTGGAACATTCAACTAAGGCATATACAGTGAAACCAGTGAAACTGCAAGAGATTGACGACTCGGCTACTGGCTGGCCCCAGTTTTTGAATGCACGTGACTTTTACGTCATGTTAGACGCCTCCTTGCCTGAACCTTACTTCTTTCCACGAAATGACGATGGGAGTCTGGGTCCAAGGGCCCAAAATTGGGGCGAAGAAGATAACAGGTTCTCCGACATTCCACTCCTCGAGGAAGACGATGCTAAAGACGACTCGGATGAGGAAGATGAACACACAGAGGTTGAAATATCCAGCTTAGAAAAGGACAAAGAAATGGTGCTTGTAAGCTACGACATTTTTGAAAAACAATTATGGCCAATGATGTGCAAGAAAAAGAAAGACGTGAACTTCCATCCATCCTTAGTATGGATGGAGATACGATCATTTATTAAAGGCTCATACGAAGCTTTGCATACAAAGAACGGTTATCTTTGCTCAGAAAAATATCAAGAAATCGGGCAAAAGAGGGCTCCAAACTTCACAGCAGACAGGGAGGCAATTTACAAGCTGTTCTTATCTTACGAGAAAGTCAGAAAATCATCTAACATGTTTGATGAAAACGACCTTGTTTTCGATCTGTACCGCCGACTGAGGCAGGGCGGAGTTCCTGACTGGTCAATTCACAAGTTGTACGTGGATGAAACACAGGACTTCACACAGGCAGAGTTGATGCTGCTAATAAGCTGTTGCCGTGATCCCAATGGCATCTTTCTCACTGGAGATACCGCCCAAAGTATAATGCAAGGTATCTCCTTTAGATTCGAAGATCTTCGTTCACTCTTCTATTACATGAAAAAGAACTGCAAAGATGAAGCAGCACAAACACAAGTCGTGGTTCCCGAACTAAAGAAACTCATTTGGAACTACCGATCACACAGCGGAATTCTAAATTTGGCGTCCAGTGTCGTTAGCATTCTACAGGAATATTTTCCTGAGTCGTTTGACAAACTGGATAAAGACCAAGGGCAGCTTGATGGTCCCAAGCCAGTACTCCTTGAATCGTGCAGTCCGTCAGATCTTGCGATTATTCTTCGTGGATATAAACGTAAGACAACTGCCATTGAGTTCGGCGCTCATCAAGCTATCCTTGTGGCCTCTAACGAAGCAAGAGAACGTCTTCCAGAGGAGCTTAGTCACGCACTTGTGTTGACGATTTATGAAGCAAAAGGACTGGAATTTGACGACGTCCTTGTCTACAATTTTTTCAAAGACTCGAAGGTAACTAGGCTTTAGTAAAAATTATATCTGCTCGTTGGCGTTACAACAATTGATCCTTTCAGTCATTTTGATCCTGGTGCGTTAAGAAAAGCCTGAAAGATAGATCGAGCTAAACGTAGCTCGCCATTTGAAGGCGGCGCCTTAACGCGAAATGTGATTGCGAATGAATTCTACCCGCTGAGATTATGTATTGCTTCTGAACTTGAGTCAAATTGTTTCTCAACCACTCAGGCAGAAAATTTATCCTTGAACACTTAATGAGAGTGTCGTTCGCCTACTGACGCCGAAAATTTGTTTAAAATATGTCTTAAATGCTGAAAGGGGACTTCTTTGAAAGCAGTTGGTTTCTCTCTCTGCGTTATTTATGTGAAATTTTTTAATTCCGCTGTGGATAGCCTAGGAAACCAATTCTCATACATGCTTGTTATTGTTTATATTTTTTTCACCTACAGGCAAGAATCGAGTGGGGGACAGTAACGCACTTTCTCCTGAATGTAAGCGTATCTGAAACCGGCAATTCATTGGAATTCCAATCTCGACCTGTCCTTTTTGACCCAGACCGACACAAACTGCTAAAGGCTGAGTTGAAGCAGCTGTACACAGCTGTGACTCGAGCTCGAGCGAATGTTTGGTTCTTCGATGAGGATGAAGAAAACCGGCGACCAGTGTTTGAGTATTTCGAGCAACTTGGCTTAGCGGAAGTCGTCTCCCTGAAAGAAGAGGGAGAAGGAAGTACATCTGGAAACCAGCCATTGGAGAAAATGTTCCCTAAAGAGTCGTCTTTGATGGAATGGCAAAATCAAGGAGATTTTTTTTACAGCAAGAAACTTTGGAATGTTGCAGAAAAGTGCTTTAAGAAGTCTGGAAATGAAGACATGAGCCGAAAATGCAAAGCTTACCTACAGGCTGACTATGCGCTAAGCCTTCGCAACGACCCACAACGACAGAAGGATGAATTCCTACGAGCAGCTTACCAGTTTCTGCAATGCAAAATGATTCGGCAAACTAAAGCGTGCTTATACAACGCTCGGGAACATAGCCTTTTTGCAAGTCTACTACAAAAGCTTGGAAAGGTGAGCCTGCGATGTGGTTATCATTGAATGAAGCTATGTGTCTCATAGATTACGGGATGTAAGCGAAAAAGAAGACGAGTCATCAAAATTGCTATGAAATGAAAACAATATCAATTTGGTTTTTATTAAATAAGAACGCACTCTCTGTACACGTTATCTGCGTATTTGGTATTTGGGAAACTTCACCTCTGAGACCAAGATGAGAGGCACAGGTTTTCCCGATTTGAACCTTAAAGCCTTTTCATGAAAACATATACGTCTTGTTCATAAGAAGAAACTCCGTTCTTCCTAACGTTGCAAAGCTAAGGACGTACTTACTTAAGTCTTTTTTAGTTAGAAAAAAATGCTGCTGTTCATCGTCGTTTTGTAGATAAATGAATATTTAATCGTTTGTCTCACCATGCAGAGTCAGGCTATTAATTGTATTGATCGCAACGTTTCGATTGCTGTACTGCTGGTCTTCGTCAGGCGACGAGATCGAAAGTTTAGATGTCGCTACTCATGGCACCCTAATTTTTATTTTCACAAAAATCCTTTTGTTTCTAGGAGAGGAAAGCCGCAACTGTGTTTGAAAGAAACGGACACTACTTGGAGGCAAGCCAGTGTCTGGAGGCGACAGCTGATTACAGAGGAGCAGTTGATACTCTCCTTCGTGGAAGTCTTTGCAACAAAGCTATTGAGGTTGTAAAGCGTTTCAGCAAATTAACTTCAGAGGAACAGAAACTGACCAAACATCCAGGCAGAACTCTTGACGAATTGTACTTGGAGTTAGCAGAGTTCAATCGTAGACGAGGCAATACAGCAGACATGAGTTCTTCTCTTCAGCACGTTGAGTCCACCGATACACGGATTGAATTTTTGATGAAGCACCGATTTCTCGAGGACGCTGTCAAGGAGTTAGAGAAGCTGGGTCGTTCAAGAGAAGCTGCAAATATCATGAGAGAAAATGGGTCATTTTTGATCGCAGCCAAGTATGCTCAGACGTCTGGCAACTCAGTACTTGCAGCTGATTGTATCTTTGCCCATGTGCGTGTCTCAAAGACAATGACAGACGAGGAGCGACAAGCACGTTTAGAGGAGGCCAAGCAGCTATACGAGGTGGCAAGAAAGAAAAATAGTGTGGGTGAAGTTCTTTTAAGACAGGCGAAGCTTTCACGGGATGCAAAGAAAGTATTGCAGGCTATGGAAATATTCTCCGATCCATCAGTCTCTAACACTTGCAGTAATCTTGAATGTGTTGAAACTCTGGTTGAGATGGTTGGTGATGATTCGCAAATTCTTGAAAAGAAAAACTGGACTCTGGTGAAACTGGTAGAAAACGTAATAAAGCTCATTTTCTCATTGGATATTCCTGCTCCAGATTTCAAGACACAGAAAGCACTGGAAAGATGCGAGGAGCACTTTGGTATCTACAGAGAGGGTGATCCCAAAACAAGAGTGGTGAGATTCAAAGAGGGTGATCGTTTTCTTTCAATTTCATTGGCTTTAGAGAAGGATACTCTAGCAGGCAGTAAATGGGAATTGAATCTCCTGCACGTCCGAACACGAATTGCAGAAAATCTCCTGCACAGACTGATCAATCTGATCCCTAAGGTTCGAAAATTTTTAAGGAAAGAGATCGACTCTCACAAGACATGCCAGATGTTTTTGGTTGGGATGCCTTGTAGTGACGAGAGCTGTCAATATCAACACTGTCTCCCAACAAAAGAAAGCACAGATAGTTTGTTCTGGGCACTTTCACACGAAGTTTATCTTGACGCGCAAGCGAACGATTTCTGGAAACTTGAAGAAAAATATTCATCGCATGAAACCGGTCATAATTTCGGATCTCGAAGGCCACTCAGCACTTCTACTAAAGAATCGGGGAAGCCTTTTCCGAAAGATTCATACCAGTCTTGCAGAAATTTTCTTCAGTTTTTCTTTTCACCCATTGGTATTTCTTCAAGTATCTGCTCGGGAAAGTACATCTCTCTTGTGCGAAGTAGGAAATTCATCCAGCAAAGTCTATACAAGTGCGTGGATAAGTTATGGAGAAGTGAACTTACAAGGCGGGAACGCATTTCAGACATCAACTGCTTCTTCACAGTCTCAAATCTTTTGCAGTTGCTGGGATCACCTCCGAGCACAATTCTATCTTGGATTAAAAAGGAAGAGGAACATTTCTGGATTACCCTTCAGTATGAGAGCCAGAACAGGAAGCCAAGAATTCCACAATCTGTCGGCATGGTGATAGAAGAAAACTCACGAAGATGTACTTTGTTTAGTCGTTGGTGGGAAGTCTCGAAGCGTCTTCTCCATGTTCACGGAAGAATTTTGAATTCAGGCCATTATGCTGTGCGGCGTTTCCTGAAGATGTCGGTAAATCCTGGAAAACAGCTCCCTTTTCCCGATCCAAAGAACTTCCTTTCGATTATGGAATACCAATTTGTAGTTCATGTCGCTCTGGCAATCTTTGTTTCTTCACTTTCCCTCCGGGTTTGTCTTCCGAGAAGCTACTTATCCGTCGTCATTTTCTGGGACGCGTTAAACTGCACCACGAGGAACCACTTTGAAATTCATCGTGCGGTCGAATTGTTCAGGTTCTCCTCAACTACTATCGCCCGCGTGAAGAGATTCCTTGGTGACACGATCTCTCTCATGTTGGGAGGGTACTCCCCAAAATTCAACGTTCTCGACCACGTTTTACGTACGCAATCTTGCATTAACTCCGGGGAAACGGAACGTGCTGTAATCCTGGTGCTCACCATGCTTTGCAACTGTGGCCAGTTATTGTCTACAGAAAACGAGATCATTCTCCTCAGGAACCTTTTCGCCCAAGTGCCCGATGAAGTTATTCTTCCAAAGAGAATAAGCAGCTGCTTGGAACAGGTTCGACAAGCGAAAGGTCTCCGTCAAATAGTAGCTATCCTTCAAGACCTGTTAAAGAACAGAAAAGAAGAGCTTTGTGATGTTTACTGGAGATTTAGGACGATTAGAGGGGACGAGGTGGACTTCAAAAGATACATCGACACTTTCAATACAGACGCAGATACCCTTTCGACACTAATCCATGAAACCCCTGAGCTCCCAGGAGACGACGCTTTGGAGCCTGAAGAGGAGCATGGTCTTCATATAGAAGAGGATCAACCTACATCTGACTTGGACCCTTCGAGCAATTCGATGTTACAAGATATTGAAAAAGAAGAAGCCATGCGGGCAGAATTGTGGAAAAAAGAGATGACATCAGAAACGGGAGAGCATGCGGAAGTTGATTTCGGACAATTTATAACACAAAATGATATATCCTCTCCTTTCGTAAATGCGAAAGTCGACAAATCAGGTTGCGGTGTTTGCAATGTTTTCTTCTCCAACGAACAAACCGGAATCGAAGAAAACTTGGAACAGGCGAATGAACCAGGTCATTACGCCAACGACTTTGAAAGTCACCTGAGTGAGAATAGCCCACATTGGAAAAAACTTGAGCAATTTAATGCTTACGAATACCTTATCATTCAAAAAGTAGTCCCACTCCAATTTATGTTTGAGACACTGGTCAAGAAAGTTGAAGATCAACTAGAAATAGCCGGAAAACAGAACATGCCTTTAAGTATCCTGAGCAACATGTTAAATAAAGTTAAGATGACCCATGCTGCTCTGCGAGAGCTGACCTCGACAATTCAACAAGAGGGCAACTGGGCGGAAACCACACTTGTGGAGGGAGCAGTCATGGCTTTGACAAAATCCTTGGAAGCCTGCCAAGAGGAACTGCAAAAAGAAACTCAACCAAAAGGTTTGTATCTTCTATAAGGCTTTTGAAATGAATTGTGTAATTTGGGCTATTAGGGACAGCAGGGAAAGTGCAGCGAGCAACTACGATAGAAGGACAAAAATGACAACTATACGTTTTTCAAACGCAGGCTCGTTTGATCAAGATTTCATAACAACCCCTGCCATCCTATCATACAAGAGAAGTAAAAGGTACAAAAACGCGCTAGTTAACACGCAACTTTGCTCATGCATTAATGGGACTCTCTAGACCTTAGAATATTAGAAACTGAAAAAAAGGTTTTCAAGCAAGCTATTTCCAACTTTCCAAGATGCAGGCTTGAATTTCCTTGTACTGAACCTTTTGTAGCTCGTTTTTTAAAGCGACCTTCCCGTTCCTCGTCTCACAAAATACCTCTCATATTTTTAATCTATTCATTTCTCTTTCATTCAGATCATGACTCACTGAACTCAGCAAAAGACGTCGAAGATGTAGAAGATGTAGAGTACCTGCATGTTCCGGGGCTGAAAAAGCGAAAGAACTAGGGAACCGAAAAAACATGTTCTAACATAGCGCGCGTGCTTGCCCTATATTAGTCCTATTGAGCCGCTATGAACAAAATCCCTATTTACGCACGCCCGTGCGTAAATAAGATGACGTGAGCATTTTTTTTACCTGGCTTCATAGTTTCCGTCCTGTTAAGCTTCAGTGCAGTTTTCCTTCTCTTTGAAATATGGAAGAAACCAGAGAAGAACTGCCCAATTTTTCTATCGGCATTGACCTTTTAGGTCCTGATCCAACAAGCAACAAAAATAAAGCCGAAAAAAACTCGCAAGTTGCACGTTTCGCGAATTTGTCGGAAGACCAGCTGCAGCAAATTTAGGCCGAAAGACAGACATTCACTAGAAACCAAAAAAAGTCACCAATTGGTCATTAACAACATTTAAAGGTAAAATATTCCCCTTTTTACTGTCGTTTTTAAATGTGTTCAACCTGGGGAATAAAATACACAGTTGTTAATTGGGAATTTACCAAAACCAAAACAATCACAATTGCACTCTATCACAATAAAAGGCTTCTTCGCGCAGATTCTTGTTATCGCTCTGTTATAAAAGAATTTTATTGCTCATGTTCTTAGCTGTACGTATATTGAGTTATGGATGCACTTGGGAAGTTTGGAGAGCATTCAAAAAGCTAGAGTTGCTCTCGGCTGCGCCTTGAGCTACTCTTAAGCATTTTTCGTGCTCTCCAAACTTCCTGCGTGCATCCATAACTCGATAAACGCACGCTAAGCATGAACAAATTCTTAATTTGCTCAGTACATACCGCACAGTAGAGTATACGTTTTCGTGCGCGCTGAATGGCCAGCCCGAAAGTGACTAGCAAATACTCTGCGAGCAGTTGAACGGACAAAATCGCGCGTCAAGAGTTTTATTTTGCGCAATTTTCCGGTACAGTGATATAATTAAACTATTGTTTTGGTCCTTGTGTGGTATATACTAAAACAATTATTCACCTCAGAGTCGTTAAAAGTGGTGGATATTTGCCTCGCCCCTTTGCAGCCCGGTACATACCCATCACTATTCGCCTCCACTTCGATGAATAATTGTTAATTGTTAAATTTGTTCATGCCTTACTTTTAAAGCATTTAGTTTTACTTCGCAGCACTCAGTTACATTGTTGCATAATTGAAAGGGGTGTGCGTCTGTGGATTCTGATTCGTTTAGGAGCCCTTTTGGACATGGTTTTGTCTTATAAAATGTTACATAGTTAGCAATCTTTTAGGTTACTCTTTTGATCATTGGGTCACTGTCAACAAACATAGATTGGACATTGGAACACGGTCATAACAACTTGCTTTCATGTTTTTATTAGTTTCCTCACGAAGCATGGAACATCTGACATGAAATAGTCTAACTACTGCTTGTTCGGAACGATAACTTTTTGAAAGAGATCATGAGCTGCTAGACTTCCATTGCCTCGTCGTGTTAGATCTAGACAATTTTCACGGATTCGACATAACGTTTTACAGGAATTTCCTGGAAAAGAAAGTTAGAATAATCTTTACAGAGTAAGCTTGGTAGAACAGATCGACCCCAGCCCCCGCATTCATTCCTCACTACTACTTCAGTCTACCATTAGCTTGTTAACAGCCATTTTAATTAACTTCCTTTATCAGTGGCAGATATACCCATGCCTGAACTGAGAAAGAAAAAACATCAAATGAGGAGTGGAAACTTGTTTTTGTACGTGTCGCCAAAGATTATTCGAAGCATGAGGGAGAATGGGATGGGGTTGCTCTGTACTTGTCAAGATAAGGGTTGATTGATTATTCATCTCGCCCCGAGTAATGTGATTAAATGCAATTTTTGTGAATGACAGATGCTTTGTGCAAAGATAAAGAAGGCAACGAAAGAAATGTGTAACGTGAAGATGGTCCTGAAATTGCTTTTTTTCTTAGAAGAGTTAGTGGAAAATCCAACTGGAGAATACTTACTCGATCGTAGTAAACGTGTTTTACAATTTGTAATTAAATAAACTAAGATATTTTAATAGTAAGGGGACACTTCTTTGTAATCCGCTGAACTAAAATATGTCATCTTCTTTCTGTTAGTTTCTACGATTGCTATGTTCTGTCATGGTTGCGACGGTTGGTAAAAGAAATCAGGGTAGCGTTAGTCATCCTGGTGAAATAAGATGAGAAAATAATAAGAATTATTTTTTGTTGTAGTTGTTGTTTCTCACGATGTAGCAAACCATATCGAAATTATGAACTAACTTTGTTGATTTATGGCGAAGGAGTAGACGGTGTTTTTTCAAAAAAGAAAAAAAGAAAATAATAATAACAAAAAGGGGTGGGTTGAAGTACGTATGAATGGAGTCGAGGGGCAAATATTTGTTGTACCCTACCACACCCCATTATAGACCCCAACTCCCTACATCCTCGAAAGGCTTCTTAATTAAAGGATTAGCTCCATTATGTCCATAGAACGTCGGTGAAAGCCATAGCTGATCTGATTCTCTTTCGGTTTTGTTAAAAGGCGGCAAATACGATTCCAAACGACCGTTTGACCAAGCGCATGGCTGTGACAGCGGACCAGCATGTTCGCGGGCGAATTATGTTCTCGTTAATAACAAACTTGTTCCGTTTCCTGTGTTTCTGGGAATTTCGTCTTTGTTCGCGAAGAGTGAATTATTTAAACGTTTTTACGATCACCTTGTCGAACGTAGTTGGATATGTGAAACATTGACACTTGCCAACTTTGCTACAAAGAAAATTTAATCGAGAAGACGTGGATAGAAGGCGGAAGTAAAATATAATTCTGTAATGTCGGTCCTCCTGATCGAAAAAAAAAAGGAACCTGCGCAGGCTTGCAGGACAGTCGTCTTCAAAGGTTGGCTTTTGTTTGGTTCACAGGAACTGTCATCGATGGACTTTACCGTTGATTAGTAAGTGAGCAGTTCATAATATAAAGCCAAATTTAACATGTACAAATATTTGCATATCCTCACAATACAGAGAATGTCTCCTTACTTCCTCGACGAGCCATTTATGTTTTGATTCATATTTAAACTTAAGCATCGCTGTTGTGTTTCGCACCGATCGTACTCGTTCATTAGGGTTTATTTTAAACTTGACATCGTTGTAATAACATCAATGTCCTGTCAATGGCTCTACTTTAGCCGCTTTGTATCTTCATTTTTATTTCATGATTCACACCTTTTCTTTTGTTATTCAAAAACCTTTATTTACGTAAAAAAGGTTGTGGTAATTCATCGTGGTGAAAAGCTAAGTTTTCCGTTTGTCTCACGATGTAGTCACACGTGACTACATCGTAAGAAAAACGAAAAACTTAGCTTTATTAACCTTTATTTAACTAACAACCTTGTTGAATATCAACAAACTGAAAGTCCGGGGAGGGCTTGATAATGTAGCAGGGAAGAGAATGGCTGATGAATTGAATTTGATTGTAAATGAAGGATTTATCTGTATGAATCCCTCGTTTCAGGGATTTATCTGTATAAATCCCTCGTTTCAAGGATTTATCTGTATAAATCCCTTGTTTCAGGGATTTTTACAGATAAATTCCTGAAGTGAAGGATTCATTAGAATTTCAACAAATTAATCCCTTATTAATTATTTACTTTCCAACTACTCAGTTGAACCTTGTTCTTCCTGAGAACATCAAATTCTTCCTCTTGACAAATTTCGGCCTAATTTTCTGTTAATAATGTCGTTTGCAAAGATACTTCACTACAAACAATATGGAGAGAAAATGCATGTTTCTTTTCAATGAAGTTTCCTGTCTTTCTGTCCATCCGTGATGCTTTCCTCAGTCACTACTTGCTTTAATTCTTCCGCACATGAATTTCGTGGAGCAGGCTCATCACTAGCTACCAGGCCGTCTAAAATAGAATCAATACTAATATTGTGTAGTAATATTTATTCCAAAAAACTGTTTTGAGGAAGAAAAAGCTCTTCATTGCTATACATGCCATCTATAATGACAGCACAAACAGAGAAATGAGGTGTTGGAAAACATTCGTACACATTTACCGAAAAACTAGCAAACAAGAACAAAAACAAAATATCAAACAACAGAACACATAAACAAAAAACAAAGAAATACAATGCTTAGTCCCTTGTGGACTTGCCAAAATATCAAAGTACAAAAAAGTCTAGCACTTGTCACAGAGGAATTCACCACAACTTTTCACAGTCCTGTGAGAGATGCACACATCAGACTGCTTTTGTTGTATATAATTTGATCCGATGAAGGTGTGACCATAATTAGCCGATGTTTGGCCCCTTGAAGAAAGGATCATTATATAAAGATCCCCCATGAATAATATCATGAAATAACTCAGATAAATACCTTGAATGTCAGTATTAATCCATATATACATATATATATATATGGATTAATACCTCTGTTTTTGGTATTTATCTCTTACTTACCAGAATTATTAGCTAACAGTTCAGCCTGCAAAAACTCCCCAGAACTCATGATTGGTGGAGAAAGAGGAAGGAGGAGAGGAGGAGGGGAAAGGGGCTCTAATATGGAGAAATAATATGTTCTAGGTTTTGTGGATAATGAATGGATCCTGCTATTATTGCAAAAAGGTTTTCTTGTGCCAATAAACTACAACAAGGACATTGGAGATAAGGTGTACTGTGCCTGTCTTAGTATACACATCACATTTCAAAACTCTCTGTTTTCTATGATTAAGTCTGTTCTCTTAATAACCTTGATGACAGAGGTTTTTAAAACAGGTTTTAAAATAATACCAGTCACTTTACCAGCCTAATTGGGTGATGACTTGCTCCTTATTTTCTTACATCCATTTTGAAATCACTGGTCAAGGGATCTTTGCTCTCTAACTGGGCTCGCCTTACAGCAATTTACTCATGAATGACACTACTTTTTGCCCAAAAGCACATCTTTAATGTAGCCAGTGACAAAAATCAGATTTCAAGTTTGTTTAAAGTAACCAATAAATTGCAGGAAAATGAGAGACCAAGGAGCCATTGTGTGACCAATTTTGCAACTATTGCCTTTAAAATTTTTCCCCTTTTTTAATCTCTTGGTAAAGTATGTCATAAATTTGGGTCAGTGGTAGAAAATACTCAATTGGCACAAGTCTTGGTCTTTGTTTTTCTCATCTTTTAGTCATTCATGAAAGCTGCTCTTCATTTTGGAAGTATAGGTAGATGCTCAACAAATATTGATTCCCTCATAAAAGGGTAATTATTTCTGTAGATTCACTATTAAGGCACTTTTAGACTTGACTCTAATTTTTTAAATGAGAAGATCATGAAACAAAGGTATATTTTTGTGTCCTATCCTATTTGATGTGAAGGTTTTGAATGGGAATGGCCTATTTTCACTACAACCAGCTTGGACCAGAAGATCTTCAAGCTGCAGCCTTTGACTGGCTCAATCAGGGTTTTTATTTTGAAGCAATTGATGCTTTTCAATTAGCCAAAAAGAATCGCTGTGATAAGAACCTTGGGAAACTACGTAGAGGACTAGCACAAGCATTTTATTGCATAGACAAAGTCCAAGATGCCTTGAATGAAATTCAACTCTGTATTACAGAGGGAAATCATGTACGTTCTGAGGTGAGTGTTTAATCATCCAATTGGTTTTACTGTCAGTCATAAAATACATGGAGTGTCACGTTGTATAATGTTATTCCATTTATGTACAGCATACTATGCTGACTCAATTAGCTGATCTTGCTGGGTAGAATTATACAGTATTAAACAGTTGACTTGGTTCATTTATTCCCAATCTGTATGCTTAAACTGTGAGTTAAAGCAGTGGCAATAGCTATTTCCATCCACCCATAACATCCAAAGATTTTTTGGGTTAATTGAGTATTTTTAGATCATATGTCAGCAGAGGAATAATTTGGCTTCATTTTCAACAGTAAAGAGAACCCCCATTAACTTGGGAGAAATAACCTTGTCACCTTGTCAAATGTCAAGTTACTGCTAATTTACTTAACACATTTTGTTTTCTAGGAGAGAGCAAATCTTTGGATGGCTCTTGCTGATAAGAGAGGCACGCATTCTAGAGAAAGGCAGTTTGCTTTTGTTGGCTACGAAATTGCTCTTCACTTTGTACCTCCACATAATTTTCTCCTGATGAGTGATCTGTTGTCTAAAATGTTGCTGTTGTGTGGTGAGATGGGACCATCTTTTGCACAGAAAGCCACAACATTCATAAAGAAAGCCCAAGAAATCCAGACATGTCCATCACAGGTAAATGTTTCTCTTCACTCTGCCACTGTTGGTATCAGATAAAGATATAGAATGGATCATGCAGCTAGAGTATTGTTTCTTCTGTAAAGTCTCATATAATTGTAACCATGTGATTATTTAATCATGATTGATTGAAACTGATTCAGAGTCACCTGCACCCAGTCACCATGTTCTTGCCCTTATAAACAGGTGTAAATGTGTGGTTTGTTGGTATAAAACACACTCAGTATCTTTTCAGGGGAGGAATGGATTTTTACTTTATGGTATTCATTATTTGCTGACTTCTATCTGGACTTGGACTTTTAGTGAGCTGTTCTTTTGTAGTGGTTTAGTTTACAGTTTCCCTGTAGGGAGCAATTAATGATAAGGGGATCAATTCTGGCTGGTCATGCGCCAATTTTCAGTGCAAAATTTCAAAGGAAAACATGAGACTGAAATAACTGCTTTCTTGTATAATAAATGAAAGAAAAATGAAACAGTCATCAAGGTTTACAAAGATAAAACTTGGGACTTTTTGAGTGCAAAGCTTATTCAAGTTCTGGTATCCTGTTGATTTACCAGTCTGTTTCTAGCTTTCCCCAAAAAAGGTATAGGCTTCTAAACATAGTGACTTACTAGCCTGTGTGTTTGTTTGTGACTTGTGGGAGACAACTTGGTTCTGACAGCTTGAAAGCATGCCACCTAGTCATTTCAATGTTTGCACATGCACCGGCATTTGACAGCTGTGTTAATTTTGCTGAGCAAAACGACCATTTAGTAATTCTGCTGACTCCATCCCTTTTTTTTTCCAGGAACTTGCAGACATTTGGTGTAATTGTGGGAAAAGGCTTATGGCATCAAAATCATTTGGGAAAATATCTCTTGAATGCTTTGCTCTGGCAGAAACATTTTTACCAGAACCTGATAAGTGCATTAAAGCTAACATCAGTTATTCAAGGGCATCAGCAATCTTATCAGCCAGTATGTCAAGTCATTATCAGCTGGCAGTCAATGATGCAAGGACCTATGTGGAACAATTTCCTTCATTTGAGGTAAGATTTAAAACTGCAACATCCCTTTATAAATTCTGGTGATAAACTGAAGGATAACAAGGTCAGGTCATTATTTTCACTCTATTTCTGTGTCTTTCATCAGAAAAATTTTATTTGATATTTCAAAATGTTTCCAGTTTCTACCATCATTCATCTACAAATATTAACCCCATCTTAATTAAGCTAACCTCTTAGGGTTTGTATTAAGTGTATAGAAGTGGATATTTAACCAGCAAAAAAGAATTGCCTATTTGGATCTAAGCTTCAAAATTTCCTGTGCTATAAGATATTGAGGAGTTTTCAAGGTGAGGCTCTAATACGATAATTGGTCCGGCCATACAGGGTTACACACTGCTATGGAAATGCTGTCTTTGTGTGCAAGAATGTAATGACGCTCTCACAACTTTCAAGAAGGCGCAGGAGATTATGGAGGACAAGAGAGAGCGCAGATATAAAGAATTTGTCGAGTTTTTCTCAACAGCAGTAGGACAAAAAGGTGAACACAAATTAGCAGATGAATCAGTTTTTGTGTATGAGTTATTCTTGCTTTCTGTTTGATCAAAATGTAATTAGGGCAGGTGTG